TCTTTCTTTCTTTCTTTCTTTCTTTCTTTCTTTCTTTCTTTCTTTCTCTCATTTGTTTCCCTCTTTTTCCCTCTCTCTTTCCCTCCCTCCAGCTCTCTTTCATTTCTCTCTCCCCCTTCTCTCTCTCTTGTTTCTCTCTCTTTTTCCTCTCTCTCATTCTTTCCCTCCATCATTTTCTCATTTCTCTCTCTCTCTCTTTCTCCCCTTTTCTCTTTCTCATCTCTTTCTCACACACGCGCACAAGCAAAATACCTTCCTGGGCTGGGAACACAGCGGCAACAGGGGACTCCTCCCACCGCTGCCACCACTGCGCAGTGAGGTGAGTAGCCAGCTGTGCAGCGCAGGAGAACTGCACTGCACAGGAGAGCCACACAGCACAGGAGACTCTTGCGCAGCGCAGGAGAGCCAGAGCTCTTCCCTCCCTGCATCCAGCAATGGCTACTGCTGCTCCTCCCCATTCCCCTCCTTCTTGAGCCAACATGAAGGGGACAGAGACTGGTGCTGAGCTGCCTGTGAAGGACACAGAATCGCAAAAAGCAACTGGTCACAGACAGTGCAGAGAAAATGCTAGGGGCGCTTCAGCCACGCAGCTCTGCGAAGAGGCTTGCCCCTTCTCGAGTCAGAGAGCAGATCGCGCAACCGGGTCGGCAGGTAGCAGCAGGAGAGGGGCTCTTGGGCCATGGGTTGCCCAATACCCGATGTATCACATCAGTCTAAATGACTCAGGGACTCCCCATCTCCCTTTTAGGGATCATTGGCAATATTGAGTGGGAGGTAGAAGAAACCAGAAATAGGAAGCGGAAAGCTGCAGCAGCGTCAATAAAAAAAGAACAGATAAGTTAGTAGTATACATTCCCCAAATAGTGGAAAATGCTTTTTTTCATCATATGAGAATAACACTCTTTTCCCAGGAAAGAAAATCCTGCTGTTACCTGTTTGTCTTATCCATGGCAATTATGTAATTCCTGTCCTTAGCCTGTTCCTTACTTGCCTTTTAAAAAACATCATTACTTTTATATCTTGCTTTTCCTCTAAGGGATGCAGGTATCGCAAAAGCAATATATCCCATTTTTATATATTTCCCAAAGCCCTATTTTTCTGGCAAATTTTTCCTGAGCCACCAGTCTTTTCCCCCCATCACCCCTTACCTCAATATTATTTTAAACAGTGGAAAAATTCACAGATCCACCCAACCCTAAAATCTGACAACTAATTGGAACCTCCGCAATCAGATTGGCAACTTCTCAATGGGACTTCTGATGAAAGTACTGAAGGGGAGAACGTGATTTTCAACAAGAAACTCTTGTCTCTCATCCTCTTCCTTCATGCTGTTTTACCTACCTGGGAAGTTGCTGATGAGATGGAAGGAGAAGGGGAAGCAGGAAGGGAGAGACCACTGCAGGGAAGATTTAGGGTGACATAATGTTCATGGCTGCAGATGATACGGATCAAGTCCATCCTGAGAGCAATAAGGGCATTGGGGTTCTGTGTGGTCAACAGCCAGTTATTGATCTGGAGAAGTAGAAAAAAAAACCTTGAATTATCCTACCCTTAGTGTAGCGATGGAGACCCATCTTCTAGGCTCAGAAAAACATTATCCCATCAATTCATACAGTACTCAAGAGTTTTTCCATTAAATTAGAAGCTCAAAAATATGTCACCGACAGGCCTATCTCTATCTCCAGGTGCGTTCATAAAAGACACTAAGCAAACCTTTCTGCAAGAAGTAACAAGGCTGAATTAGGTTTTGGGGAATGAGAAGGATCACAGAATGAGATCCCAAACATTCTATTGCAAAAATGGCACCATTTCACAATTGGGTAACTTCACAACTAATGTATTTTTTTTAATTGAAGTTAGGACAGTTGAATGAAGTAAATTAGTTCACAACAAAATGGGATAGACACAGTTGGGCTTTATATTGGATTCCTGAAGATAACTTGCTGATGTAATGGAAGGATTCTTGTTCTACCATAAAGATCTCCTATTAACATCAGCAGCTAGCCTTAGAAAACTCAAAATGGGAAAAGAGACCAGAAGAAGATGGTTTGACAGCATATAGGTATCACAAGTATGAACTTAGAAGAACTCATAAAAGCAATTACTGAGAAGAAATAAATATAAAAATAAATTGTTTTTTCAGAGATAATGGTTGATGAATTAAAAAGGGGATTCTGCAGGGTGACAAGGAGTAATAAGAATATTTCTGCAATTAAAAATATTTAGAAAATAGGGTAATATAGATACTGATAACTCTTATTAAAAATCAAGTGGGGGGAAATATGCTGCGGAATCCAAATGGAAAGATGTAATGATTATTATTGTAACTTATTAAAAATAATGGTTTATTGGGAATCAAGATGAGGGAATAAAGGTATATTTTAAACATTGAGGTGTCACACTCAAAGCAGTAAAAGGGGGGAAACCTATACTTGTTTGTTTTTTTTAGTGTTAAAATTTATATTAATCTAGAATTTATAAAAAGAATGTGTAATGGAAAGGGAATATGACAGACTAAAGAACCAACTAAATTAATAAGTTAACATAGACTATTAAAAGCAAGGAGAGACATTGGTAACTATTATTATTATTATTAAAACACATATTGTTTATCTTTATTTTTAAAATAAATATTAAAGGATTATATTTGAAACAATTGAAATGAAACAAAAAGTTGTTTCGATTGAGATTAATGAAAGAGGCTAGAATTAATGTGTTTGTTTCTCTCCTTACTGAAAATTTGGAATGGAAAAGATAATGATAGAATTAAGTATGCATATATGAATGTATAATTGCTGTCATATTGGTATGTAAAGGTGATGACCCGGAAATATGTTGTCCACTAAAAAGAGACTTTTGTTTTTAATGTGAAAAACTGAATAAAATTTGTTAAAAAAAAAGAAAGGAAGAAATTGCTGGAATTACAAGCTACAATGGACATTATGAGTAGAATATTTGAGGACATTTTGAATAAAATACAATGCATGGCAGGAGAGCTGAACATAGACACAAACAACGGAAAGGAAACAAGAAACCCAGGAAGAGGTGGTGCTAACTGAAATTATAACCAGAAAAATAGAACAGATGGAACAACAACAAAAAGAGAGGATAAAAAGTAAAAAAACATAAAATGATAATGACAGAGGTAATAAATCAAGGGGAGAATATTATTAGGGAAAAGCAACAGGAGATGGAATTTCAGGGAGAATATTTTAAGAGAATTGGGGTAAAACTAGACAATTGGAAAAAGAGATGATGAATATATTAGAGAAGGGAGAAATGATTAAGAGGAAGGGTCAAAATATGATAGAAATTGGGAGACAAGCCAGGAAGTGACCAATTAAGGCTTTATTAAGAGTAAGAGACGAAAGTTGAAAAAAGAAAGGATAAGGATTCCACATGAACGTGTGTATTATTATTAAGATATTTAATTGTTAATTGCAACATGAAATAATCTATTATAGGATTACTATTAAGGATATACAATTGTTATCTATAATAAACATGAAAATTAATATGGTAGTTGTAATAAATATGAAATATTTTACTATAGGATGATTGTTAAAAACATATAAATTGCTAATTATAAAAATATGAGAATTAATATTGTACTGTAAGAAAAGAAATGACATATGGAACCTGACAAACAAAAAATAACCCAATGAAATATGCTATTAATTACATGGGATTGTATTATTGCTAGAATATTTGCTAAACGTAAAAAGGATGAATATTATTTTGTTTGTACTAAAATGAGATCAGAAAGGGATTATACTAATGGCACAACTAAGAATCAAAAATGGGATAAATAGGAGAGAATATAAATTAATATGAATTTATGAATGGCTATAAAAATTAAAATTTGTTAAACACTGCAAGTTTGACCAATAATATATATTTATAATAAAAGAAGTGATGTTGAGATATGGGAATTTGGAATAATCAGAATAAATAATTTGTATTAATATTAATCATTAAGTTAACAGTTTCAATATGAAATCATTGTCATGTTTGCTCTAAAATATAGAATACCCTGTAAGCACACTGTTCACACGATATGCTTGTAGAAGAAGAAAAAATAAAAAATGTGTTACAAAAAAAAAGTAGTTAAGCCCTGCAATGCAAAATGATTCCCATAGTCATCTTGGCACTTTGAGTCTAATTATGTATCCTCTTCCCAACAGAAAACTCATAATTCTGTGGAAAAGACACATGCTTATTACCTGCTTATAATAAGACCGCAGAAGATCAAAGACAAAGCCACGATTCATGAACGACAGCAGGTCATTGAGAAAAAAGGCCAGGCTACTGTTGAGATGCTCCACCAGCTCCACATCCTATGGAAACAGCATATTTATGAATTGGCCCTACCTAAAATGCTTTTTTAATGGACCTTTGGCACAGAGTGCAGCAGCAGAATGCAGAAAAAGAGCATTGGGCGTACCTGAAATGCATCTTCTAGTTGTATGGGAAGAGAATCCAAAGTGTGGGCTGTCTCCTGCTTCCTTGCTTAAAGATGGAGTCAATCAAAGTTTCGTCCAGCCCCCTTTCCACTGCGCATGCCCAGTTTTTGATGAAGGCTGATGATTGACTTGGAGAGTTCTTGGTGCTCTTTCTTGACAGTTCCATGCTCAGGACTAACTATCTAAGGGTGGAATTTGGATTCTCCTCCCGTACAAACTAGAAGATGCATTTCAGGTAAGCCCAATGCTCTTTCTCAGTTGTACGGGTCGGAGAATCCAAAGTGTGGGACATACCCAGGTTAATTGTCCTGAGGGTGGGCCAACTCCTTGTCTCTAGCCTCCATCTCCATGTGAACTCTTTGTAGCACTCTTCTTCCAAAGGATGCTTCCACTGATGCAAATGTATCCAGTTTATAATTTCTGATGAATGGAGATGGCGATGACCACTTTGCTGCCCTACAGATATCTTCAATTGAGGCCTGTGTATTTCATGCCACTGATGTGGCTGCACTCCTGGTTGAATGTGCTGTTATGTTACCCGGCAATTGCAATTATTGGCTTTCATAAGCTTTTGTGATACATGTCTTGATCCATCTGCCTACGGTAGATGGTGAAACCCTTTGTCCCAACGAACTCGGTCTAAATGAAACGAACAATGCTTCCGTTTTTCTAATGTGCCTTGTTCTCTTAATATAAATGCATATAGTGCCACTTCCTTTCTAGGCTATGGACCAGTTCTGGGCAGAAGTCTGGTAGTACTAACTCTTGTGCTCTATGGAACGTAGAATTGATCTTTGGGATAAAGGTCGGGTCTAATCTTAATACTACCCTATTCAGGTGAACTATACAGAGGTCCTCCCTCACGGATAATGCTGCCAACTCTGAAATTCTTCTGGCTGATGTAATGGCTATTAGGAAAGCCACCTTAAGGGTGAGTGAAGGTAGTCCTACTTACCTCAGTGGTTCAAAGGGCTCAGTCATGAGCGTCCTTAGCACCCTTGTCAAGTCCCAAATAGGGTACCTGTGTATCACTGGTGCCTTTAGATTGGTTGCTCCCCTGATGAACATGCGGATTAAGGGGTGTCATGAGAGGGACTCCGAGGTCCCGCAACCCAACACTGAAGCTATCACTGCTACCTGCCTCCTTAAGGTGTTAGGGGTTAAACCCTTCTCCAGGCGTTCCTGGAGAAAATCCAGCACTTGAGTAACTAATACTGTGGTTGGATCTATTTGTTTCTTGGAACACCAGGTTCCAAATGCTCTCCAAGTGTCATCATAAATTCTGTTGGTTGATGGTCTCCTGGATGCCTGGAGTGTCTGTATTACCTGTATTACAGTTAGTTGCAGCCATTGTGGCTCTGGGTGTCATATGGCTCCCTGACTCAGTTCTACCTTGTCTGGGGGAATTCTCCATGGTCTGGATACCGACAGATCTACCATCCACATACCAAGACCTCCTGGGCCAGTGAGGTGCTACCATTAAGACCTCCGCCCCCTGTTCTACCACTTTCTTGATTACCCTTGGTATCAAGGGGAGTGGGGGGAATATGTAGAGCAAACCCCTTGGCCATGCTTCTCGGAGCGCATTGGTTCCCTCCGCTCCCTGTGTTGGGAATCTCGAGTAGAATCTTGGGAGTTGTGCATTTGCTGGCATCGCAAACAGGTCCAGGACTGTTCTCCTGAATCTGTGCGACAGTTCCCTGAACAGGTCCGGGTGTAGGCGCCACTCTGAGTGGTCGACCATTGTTCTGCTGAGCCAATCTGCCTGAACGTTTTCCACTCCCGATATGTGTTCCGCCCTGATCAATAGGTGCGTCTCCGCCCAGCAGCCCAATCGCTCTGCTTCTTGCATGAGCGCTAGGGAGTGAGTACCTCCCTGCCTGTTGATATGAGCCTTGGCGGTCACGTTGTCTGTCAGGATCAACACATGCTGTCCCACTATCACTGACCTGAAGGCCTTTAGAGCCAGGTGAGATGCCCTGAGCTCCAACCAGTTGATGTTGTTCTTGAAGTCTGACTGAGACCACTGACCCTGTGTAATCTGGCTCTGACAGCGGGCTCCCCAGCCTACTAAACTTGCATCTGTTGTGATAAGTTGGCTTTTGCCGATAGAGTATACTCAGACCGGCCTGAGCATGGACTCTAGCCTCCCTTTCTCCTGGGTAGGCTTGTGTGGCTGTGATGGAAGCTTGCTCAGCCTAAGACTGAGTTTGCCCCCAATTAAAGAGAGCGCTGGAGGCTTGTGCGGCTTCTGGTTTGTTTAACGAAGGCTCTGGGAAAGCTGAGTTAATTTGCCCTCCTCCTTTGCTAGCCGATCAAGAGCCCACCCGCTCTTACTGAGGCTGCTGCTGCTTATTCTCTTAACACCAAACAGCTATGTGGGCTTTCCCATCTTGGGATGAGGTCCCGGCTCTTTTGCTTACTCATGGTTTGCTGACTTTCACTCTTTCTCTTTTCTCTCTTTTTTTCTCAAAGAATCCAAAGCATTTGGATATATTTTCTATTTTTCTTTCTGAGCACTCTCTCCTCGTGTCCTCTTTGCATGAAGACGGAGTCAAAAACTGGGCATGCGCAGTGGAAAGGGGGATGGACTAAACTTTGACTGATTCCGTCTTTAAGCAAGGAAGCAGAAGACAGCCCACACTTTGGATTCTCCGACCCGTACAACTGAGAATAAGAGGTTTTTCACACTTCACAACTGCTGTGGAGTTTTGGGCACAGCAGGCAAATGCAAATACAGCCAGGCCTATAGATTTCAATAAAATGTGAAACTATTTTACTAATAAGTGTTATATTTGCCTCACTAGCAAAGTTGAATTGAGAGCTGACCAAATCTAGAATTTGTAAAGTTTGGCATATAGGATCCACTCTTCAATATTCCCTTTTTAGGAAAAGTTGTTGAGAGGGTAATAGAAACTGAACTTCAGGATGCTCTGAGGGAGCAGATTATATAAACCAGGGCTGTCAAACTTGCGGCCCATGGGCTGGATGCAACACAGGCTGGCCACGCCCACACCCGGTTTAGCGAAGGGGGAAAAAAAGTCCTGATGTATCACGTGACACCGCCATGACATTTGACACCCATGCTCTAAACTGTTTTCAGTCAGGACTCAGGTTTGTGTATGGGGTGGAAGCAGTGTCAGTTGCTCTGGTGGATTATCTTTGTTGGGATCAGCCGATATAGTATATCCTTTCTGGCCCTATTATCTTGTGAGCGGCATTCAAGAGCGTCAACCATGCTATACTTCTGAACCCTGCAAGGGTTGGGAATGTAAAACATTGTTTTGCTCTTTCCTTAGTAGGTAAATGCAGTTAAGTGATGATGTAGTTAGAGAGAAGAGATTGGCTTGCTGGTCCTTCATTTATGGAGTGCTTCAGGATAGGTCCCCTCATGTTTAACATCTACATAAACTCCTGGGACACATTCATTCCAGCATTAGCAGTATGGGATAATACCCAGTTGTACACTACCAGCCTAGGTCATACCAGGAAGACTGTGGAAGTCTTGTCCTGCTGACTGGAATATGTAAGGTATGGATTAGACAAGACAAGTTGAAATTAAAACCAAGTGAGACAAAGTTTCTTCTGTATTGTCAATCAACTCCAGTGTTGTCTCTTAATGGGAGTGTCATTGCCCCTGAGAGAACAGGTGAGTGTAGTTACAGCTGCTGCCAGGCAATGTCCAGGTTTCACTAATGTACCAGAATAAGCCTTACCTTAAGGCTTAAGGTTATTGTGACAGTGATACATATTCCCATCATTATGTTATTAGACTATTCCAATGAGCTTTAATTGTGACCGATTTGAAAACCACAATACAAAATGGAACAGCTGCCTACTGCTGGGTATTATTCACGAAAAGCACATTACACTTGTCTTTCAGACCCTATAATAGTTGCCAATAGGTTTTTGGGTTTAATTCAAAGTATTGTTTTGATCTATGAACCCCATAGTTGAGCACCTAGGTATCTGCAGAACCTCTTTCTCTCTGAATCATCCTGCCCAGGGGATTTTTAAAGAAGCTTCTGGTCATACTCCCTATTCCATGAAGTGAAGGGAACAGAGGCCAGGATAAACTATTTTATGTTTCAGCCCCAACCTTGTGGAATTAAGATCCCTGCCCCATATCTTTTTTAACTTTCTAGAAGCTCCATAAGATGGAATTTTTCCTAAGAATCTTTCACAAACCTTCTGACAACGGCTAGCAATTTCACCACTGACAGTGTATACCAGGGCTGAGATATCATCGATGAAACGGCCAGGGAAGCGTGTCTTGCGTGGGGCTTCTAGCTTGTCACACAGGAACAGATGGTGCACCATACTCTTCACCTGCAAGAAGCACAAGCCCCTGTCAATGGAGAGCCAGAGTATGTATGCATCAGCCCAGCTAATCCAGCCAGTGAATTCCAATCTCAGCTTCAACCAATTTAGGCTGCCATGCAGGCAGAGTGACTCCTCCTAGAGTAGTGCTTTGGTAGTGCCTGTGCTTTAGTAAACTGAGAATTGTATTTTCAATAAGGACTCTTATTCAATCACAATCACAATTCTGACTGGTTTTGTCATTTTCCTTACTGAAGGGTTCTTTCACTCCCTTTACTGGAGAGTTAAAGACAGTTAACATGACAAAATGTGTGAACAAGGTCTTCATTTCAAATCTGGAAAGTATGTGATCATGATTTATTGGCAATCCTCTACTCCCAAATATAAATGGTGGGACAATTACTATATATAAATACATAGAAGGACAAAACAAGAAATTGGAAATTTTTGCATTGTACAAAACAGAAATGTCTTTATTGACAGCCAGAAGGTTGCCTATTTTTAAAAAAAAATTAAACAAGCAAAGAGAAGCCAATGTTTCTGACACTAAAGACTGACAATCTGAACATACCATCAGCTGGAAGAAGAACCAGGATTGATGCAAAGCAGCCTCCCGCACAGAACTGGTGCTCACCACCCACTGGAGGGCCAGTTCTTCATGAAGTAGCTGCAGGTCCAGACAGAAAAAAAAAAGAAGAGAGAAAGAGAGAGTTACAAAGAACAAAGGTGATGGATGATACGCTGTACTGAACTATTCAGAGGATGCCCTGCAGAATCATCCCTATTTCGGTTTTCCATGGATACCTTCTGACAGACTCCTAATACCATATTGTAAAGCAAAAGGCATACTGCACCTCTACTGGGTTTTCCCCCCCAAACAGATTTTCCACAGGAAAAATGTAACAGGAAAAATGGTGGGACTAGCATAAACCTGGGAGAACTACACTGGATGAGGGTATTTGGACTCCTTATATAAAATTATGTGAATAAGACTGATCAATCATAAAATAAAAAGCTTATCTGGAAATATCCTCTAACTCAAATTATAACATTTTGACACCATGGCTTTCTGTTTCCAGAAGCTATTGCAAGGCCCACAAGAAGACAACTTTCTGAAAATCAGCTAGAATATGTATCAGATTTTTGTGGCATCGTTACCCCCAATCAAACTACATAGGTGCTCTCCAAATTATCATCTTCATGACCTGCCTGAACTACATTCATGGCTTGGTACCAAATGCTTTAAAACAATATAATATATCCCAATGTTTAAAGAAAATGCATTAAACAACTTGGGCTGAAATTTCAAGCATTTGAGACATACTAATATTACTGAGTCTACATGGGATGACTGGCCTATAACTTTGTGTTTTTGAGTTCTCTAAATACTATATCCAGAAGTAATAGCACAATCTATCCACCAGACCAGTTAGAAATAGATATGCTTCCAGAAGTGCTTCCTTCTCTGCGAGCTTTTTTAATTGAAAAAGGTCATCCATATATTGCTCATCCATCAAGGAAACAAAAGGGGGGGGGAAATCTTTTTTTAATTTATTTTTTATTTTTTTATATTTACAATAATTTCATCTTTCATTCATACAGTGTGTTGACTGGGTACATATATTTTGTGCTAACAATTGTAATTAACACTTTTCTTACCAATATAACAATAATCACATTTTCTTTGTAAACCATTATTTCTTATATCTATTACTTTTATAACAATCTTAACTAATTCCTCTATATATTCATCTACTCAGTTTTAACTTGTTTTATTTTTCAACCATTGATAAAATAAGTCCCATACCATGTAATATTCGGTTTTTTCTTTTTCTTTAATTGACAGTGTTAATCTATTCATCTCTGCACATTCAAATATTTTCTCTATCACTTTTTCCTCTGCCGTTATCACTTTTCCAATTCTCAGCAAATACAATCGAGCTGCTGTTAATACATAAATAATCAAATATACTTTTTCTTTGCTGTAGCCTTTAGGTATCATTCCTAATAAAAATATTTCAGGTTTAAAATCTATGTGTTGCTTTATCATTTTTTCCAACCATGTGTGGATTTTTGTCCACTATCTTTTTGCTTCTGTATATGTCCACCACATATGGTAATATGATCCAGGTGTCTGGTGACACTTCCAGCATCTGGCTGATTTATCTTTAAACGTCTTTGCCAATTTTGCTGGTGCAAAGTGCCATCTGTAAAACATCTTATACACATTTTCTTTATATGCTGTTGATATTGTTAACTTATAATTTCTTTCCCATAGTTTCTGCCATCTATTTAATTCTATCGTATGCCCAAAATTTTTCACCCATGCTCTCATTGTTTTCTTTACATGTTCTTCTAGTTTTACACCTAGTAAATAACAGTACAACTTTTTTAATCAGCTTGTCTTCTGTTCCTGTTAGTATTTTGTACAATTCTGTCAACTTCTTATGGATACCTTCAACTTTGGTATCTTTTTGGTATTTTGATTGTATTTGCACCAATGCATATCAATCCCTTGTTCATTCAATTCTTGTTTGGTTTGAACTCACCCTTTTCATTCAGTATATCCTTATATCTAGCAATAGTTCCCATTTTACCAGTATTTGGGTGTATTAGAGCTTCTATTGTTGATCACCAGACTGGAATTTTAAAGAAATGTTCTTCTCTAATTTTTTCCCATACTAACAATAAAGCATTCCTAACAAAGTGCCTTTGAAAATAACCATGTATCTTACTTCTCCTGTACCACAGAAATGCATGCCAACCCAATTGCAAATCATGTCCCTCCAGTGTCGGCAACCTTGTATTTCTTAAAATTATCGATTCTTTCATCCAAGTTAGTACTGTGGCCTGATAGTATATTTCCCAATTAGGTAACCCAAACCCTTCTCTCGTTCTTGCATCCTGTAACATTTTAAAATTAATTCTTGCTTTCCTCCCTTTCAATACTATTTTGTTGATATCTTCAAAGTATTTTTTCTCCAGTTTTATCGGAATTGTTTGGAACAAATACAACACTTTTGGTAATATATTCATCTTAATTGTTGCAATTCTTCCTATTAATGATAATTGCATATTCCTGCATTTTTCCAAATCTGGCTTAATTTATTGTTTTAATTTAGTAATTATCTTCCTTAATCATTCCACATCTAGCCGTTAACTGGATTCCCAGATATTTTACTTTCTTTGCAATCTGAATATCTAATCTCTCCATTAATTCTTTTTTCTGTTTCTCTATCATATTTCTTTTTACCAAAATCTGTTCCTCCTTTCTTATTTCCATCCCTTTTATTTCTTTATCTTTCCTAATATTTCTATTTAACACTTCTAAAGTTAATACAAATAGTAATGGCAACAAGGGACACCCTTGCCTTGTTCCCTTCTTAATGTTAATTTTTTCAGTCAATTCTCCATTAACCATCACAATTCTCCACTAACCATCACTTTTGCATATTGTTTATAGTGTCTTAATCATTTTAATAAACCTTTCCCCAAAATCCATTTCTTCCATTTGTGCCAACATAAACTTCCAGTTGAGTTAGGTATTTTTGCCTCCATCAGTACTTCATTTACCACTTCTAGTAATGTATTGCTCAAAGAGTCCTGCAGGGTTTTATACATTTCTGCTGGTATACCATCCGGTCCTGGTCTTTTCCCATTGTTTTGTTTTTTAATTGCTTCTGTTAATTCCATCATTGTAATTCTTTCCTCTAACATTGTTTTGATTTCTTCTGGTACTTTAGGTAATTCTGCTTTTTTTAAAGTATTCTTTAATTTCTCCTCCTTCCACTTATTCTTGTTCATATAGCTCCCAATAATATTTTTGAACTATCTCTTTTTTCTCTTCATTTCTATAGCAAAGGTTGCCTTTATCATCTGTTAATTGGGAAGCCTGTCTCTTTTCCTTCTCTTTCTTCAGTCTATATGCTAGCCACCTTCCTGGCTTATTTGCATTTTCAAAAAAGTTTTGTTTAGAGCTTTTTATTTTTTGTGCTAGTTCTTTTTTGTCTATTATTTTCATTTTATGCTTTGTTAAATTCATTTTATTTTGTATATCCTTTCTTTGCGAGTTTCTTTGGAGTTCTTTCTCCATCTTTTTATATTCTTCTTCTAGTATTTTTTGTGCCTGTCTTTTCTTTCTGTTTCTCTTTCCCATATATGTTATAGTTAATCCTCTAATATATGCTTTTGCTGTATCCCATACATTTTGTAGTGAGGTTTCTTCTTTTCTGTTTTCATTAAAAAAAGTCCAATTCTTTTTCCATATATTAAATATACTCCTTTTATTTCAATATTAAATTGTTCATTGTCCATTTTGGCCTTTTTGTCCCTTCCATATGACCTTAATCAGATTATGGTCTGCCCATGTGTTTATTTCGATACTTATTTCTTGTATGTTGGAAATTAAATCTGTTGATATTCACATCACCTCGATCCTGGACCAGGGCAAATGTCTATTCCAGTAGAATATGCATTGTTTATTTTTAGGATGTATTTCTCTCCATGCATCTCAAATTGCTAACTCTTCTGTCATCTTGAAGAAGAATTTTGGTAATGTTTTCCTGTTCTTTTTATTTGTCTTTTGTGTTTTATAGTCCATTTCAGCATCCACTATTGCATTAAAGTCTCCTAGGATACATATACTTTCATATTCTAGTTTGATTATTTTGGGGGGTAGTTTATCGTAAAATTCTTCTTGATTCTCATTTGGTGCATATATCGCCACTAGTAATGTCTGTTTACAATTTATTATTATTTCCACCATTAACACCTTCCCTTCATCATCTTGGCATATTTGTTTAGCTTTTATTTTATCTTTAATGTATAATGCTCCTTCTCTTTTACTTTGTTGTGCCAGGGAGGTATACAGTTTTCCATTTTTGGAATAGTCCAATATTTTATCATGTTGTTTTTTGATGTGCACCTCTTGTAAACAAATTATATCCAATTTTAGTTTCTCTAATTTACTGAAAAACCTTTTTATTGCCGAATTCAGTCCATTTATATTGACATCAATTTTATTTCCTCTTCCGTGTTTTTATTTATAATAAGGTTTTGCTGCTCTTGTTCCCTTTGCTTCCTTCAGTTTTACTTCTTCTCTTATCGCTCTTTCTTCGTTCTCTTTCCTCTTTGTCTTCTATCCCTCTCTCCTGCTGCTTCCTCTCTTTGTTTTATTGCTTCTATTTCCCCCACTCTTTCTCCCTCTTGGTTTCTGAAATAGTTTGCTCTGCTTTCTCTATTGAATCTAGCCTGTGTCTCTGTTCATGCCATATCACCATTATTCCCTCTGGTATCAGCCATCTAAAATTAATCCCTCTTTTAATTAAACATTTTGTCAAGAATTAGTATTTCCTCCTTAAATCTCTAACACTCCTTGCTATTTGCTTCAGAACTGTTATTACCTTCCCTCTATATTTCAATGTGTCATTTCTTGCTTTTTGTGGTATTTCTGTTCTTATGGCCTTCTTTGTGAATCTAATATGTACCTCCCTTGGTAACTTGTTTCTCAGTGCATATCTGGTCTGTACTCTAAATATTTTGTCTATATCATTACTTTTTCTTTTGTCACTTCCAAGGCCCCTGCCACCAAGTCTGCCATTATTTCTGCTAGGTTTTCTTCCTTTTCTTCCTCAATGTTTTGAAATCTTAAACAATAATCGGCTCGATCCATCTCTAGTGGGATAATTTTTTTCTCCTTACTTTGGTCTGCTAGTGTCAGCCAATAGTCCATTTCTCCTACTCTTTTTTCTGTTATGTCTGCTCTCTCCTCTATTTTTCCCATACATTCTTCATTTTTCATCATCAATTGCTGGATGTTCTTTACCTTTTCTTCTATATTTCCTACCTTCTACATTTCCTACTTTCACTTCCAATCTCCCTATTTGCTCTTGCAAAGCTTGTAAGATCATTTTGATCTCTGCTTGCTGTAACATAACATCCACCTTCACTTGCTGTAACATAACATCCAGAGATCTTTGTTCGGCAGGGCTCGAAGTAGCCGAGGAAGAGGCAGAAGATGGGGCAGGTGTTGTTTTTTCATTTTAAGATATTGTGTTTGTTGTCTCTTTATAACTTCTTTGTAATCCATCTTGTAATAATCCAATCAAATCAGCAAATCAAAAACAATTAATAATCCACTGCGAGCTCTTCTCCCAAATTCCTTTCTTCAGTTTCTTCTATACCTTCATGTATATTCCAAAGAGAAGAAGATATGCCAAAAGCAGCAACAATGACAAAAAAGAAACAAAAAACAAAAAAAATGTTGTGGAAAAATATTGCAAAAATAAGTATGCAAAGTAAGGAAAAAAGTCTTAAAATCCCTTTACAAAATTTAAAATTTAAAAATTGAATAAAAAAGAGAAAAAAAGAGGAAAAAAGAAAAAGAGAAAAATTATAAAATAGTATAATGTGATATCCAAGAAATTAATATAATATTATAATGAAAAAAAAGTAAAGTCAATTATCCAATTATAATCCACGTTAGATCACTAACGTGATCCAATCACCAGTTATTTTCATCAATAATTTCACAATGCAGGCTTGCAATTGTCTTTCAGTGATGATAGACAAAACAGTCCAGGAGAAAGGGATTTAATCTTCCATTTCTTTGTATCTCATTTGTTTCTTTTCCAAGACTTACACTGTTTTAAATGAAAGTTCTCAGTGTTCATCTCTCCATTATTCAACAATGTATCAGTTATCACTCTGTCAAGGTCATACAGTTTATTATTTTCTCTGTCTCCCTCTGTCTTATATTCCTTCGTTCACCTTTAGATGGTGCTATTGCACTGTTTTCTCTATTCTCCTTGTTATTTAAAGTCCTATTTTATATTAAAATACAAGAAATTTAAAATTTAAAAAGTCAGCAAGGAAAAAAAAGGGAAAATCCAAACCTCTTATTATTTACCCTTGGTTTAGTCCAGTAAATTTTATAAGTCCAGTCCCGTTTTAAATTATCTTTCCATTCATAAGTCCTTAATTAGCGGCTTCCTTTTTCTATTTGTGCCAGAAACTGCTTTCCTTGCTGCTTTCTTCCAGTGGGGGGTGTTTACCCACCACCTCCTTTATTTTTGACTTTTTCTTCTCCCTTTTCTTCCCGGGGGGGTTCTTCCTTTAATATTTTTTAAAGGTTTCTCACCCAGCTCAATCATACTTTCCATTAGCAGCTGCCCCAGCCTCATAGCAGTGCGTGATGGCCACTTTCCTTTCCAGTCGGCTAGAGAGGCTATCTCTGGATCAACCAAGGATACTGCAGTATCCCTGGGATCTACAGAGTGTCCCCTCCTTGATAACCGCCCCTCCAAGATGATTTAGGTCCAAAGGGTCCATCGGCTGTTGGGATTTTGACGGGTCCCCCGGGAACACCGAGAAAGTCTGTCATATCGCTGCGGCGTCAACTCCACCCTCCTCAGGAAAAAAAAATCTTCAATCACAGTACATTCACTTAAGTAGTCAACAAATGATAGTGGTTCTCCCTCACCAAGCTCCAACTGGGAGCAGCTCCTACTTCAGGTAGCCTAATTCAATTAACCATGAACAGCCAAGTCCACACATGCTTTCCTGGTAAATTCTCTGGACTCCAAGAGTAATTTAGAAGATTGGCTTGAGAAGAAAATCTGGGGAGTTACATATCATGTATGGAAAAACCAAAGCCATAAGTCAATGAGGAAGTGGGAAAGGCTAACATGATCTTCAGTTAGAAAAGGTGGGAAGAGTGAAAAGTGAAAACAGAAGGACCCAATAAACTGAACAACTATAAGCTTATCATAATTACTACTGTAGTGTGGTTTGGTTTTTGCAGTCAGCAGGTTCTGGAATATTCCTGACAGAAGGAAAGATGACCATCAGCTAAAGCTATGCCACTTTGCAGAGCCTATGCTGCCACATTCTATGCATTCATTTCTGTAATACCACATTTTTACAGCATCTCTTTCAGTTTTCAACAAAGTTTCTGATTAAAATGCCTTTTAGCTAAATTCTAAGCTTGTCTCACTGCATCTCCCAACCAAGTGTGTCTAGCAACAACATTTCAGTGTGCCACAGAGAACATTTTTGGGTTGACAGTCCTTCTCTACCTTTTTGGTTGCTGGTCTCATCGGAGCTGCTGGCACAAAAGTGGAGCCCTCGAGATAGGAGGAGATACGATTAGGTGCACACTCTGCAGCCTGTGAGAGGAGGAGCAGAAGACAGAAAAAAGAGAGGAAACAGTGATGGTGAAGAGGTATTACCCAGAATGGAAGAAATGGTGACGTGATGGTTAAGGAAAAAGAGCCTGACTTCCTTACCTGAGAAAACGTTGCTTAGAATTCGAAAGCCAGCTACATTTTGCCAGGAAACAGAAAGTTATAAGAACTGGGGGACTTACAATTCTGGAGTTGCTTCAAGATGCTCAAGCAATCAAAGATCTTACTGCCAAAGTTTGCATAAACAGGTAACGCTGATACTTTCCTCTTTTTTTTTTCTTTTAGTGCAGCACTGTGTATCCCCCTGCTGGTTAATGACAAGCCTTTGCCCTACTGTCTAAAACCAGCCTATCTTAGAGTTCTCCTGGCATCACTCATCTTCCCCATATGGAGAAACTCTGCTTGTTTATCTACTGCGCTGCAGTGTGGATGACTGGGCAAAGGCATTATAATAGCAGGAACTCTGCTTATTTTTATTCAGGTCTTTTTAGCTATCTGGAATTAGGAAAAAGGTGAAGCCTGGGTTCCAATCTCTCTTACTGTATATGCTTGTATCTCCAAACTGAACAGCACAATCTGGAAGGTGGATGGGACAGGCAACAGATCAAAAGAGTCTGTCTTTGCTTCTATGCCAGCATTACAAATATGTAATTATAAACTAGCTATGCCCAGGCTTGGTTTGAATATAAAACTAACTATGGTTTAGAGTTACACATAATTTAATTTCTTAAATTCCAATGGCTGTAAAGAAAAGATCAATAGCATTGTTTCTTACCAAATAATTAGCTTAGCATTATATCTGAAATCTAAATGCCTGTAAATTTTAACTGCAGACTGAAATAAGTTAACAAAATCATGGTTTTAAGTTGGCTTATTTCATAACACCACATTTGACTGGTACAATTTGTTAGGGTTTGGAAATAACATAAAACTGTGGTATCATAATATTAAAAAAAGGAAAAATTTCACTCTCAAGAGGAACTGACAGGCTTCACATCTAAATGAGTTCCAAGAGTCAAACCTGCGTTTGAAAATGACACAGTTGGGGTAGAAGTTGTAACTGTCCAGGGAGCAAAAGAAAATGTGTTTTACAAAATTAAAAGTTAAGCAGATAAATAACTGGGAATGATTAACTTGCCAGCTTACAAAATTTAATTGTTTACTCTTGTGAATGAAACTATGACTTGTTTAAAAGTAAATAGTATGAGCAAGAATGAAAAGACAGTAGGAAAACTAGCATGATGGCAATCATGCAATGGCAAAGAAATCATAACCTCTGAAATCTATAGCAGTTCCCAAATATTAGTTCAATATTTTCCAAATATTTTCCCAACTTTCTATCTCTCTTTTTCAAACAGACAGACAGATGCACACCAATCCTGACTTGAATATATACGGTAACTATATTTGATTAAAAGCAAATCTTAACTTTCTGGCCATTATGATTTCCAAAGGGAAGCCAGTTGCCAACCTATTTTTTATTCCGTGTTTTAAATGACATGTTATGACTTATCTGGGGTGTTTGTTATTATCCTTAATCTTCTACCTTGCAATGAGCCTTAAAAGATTTCCCATCAATTTCACTCCTAATCTGTTGACTATTTTGATCAGAGAAAATTCAATATCTATGCTTATTGCTGACTGGAAATACCTTATAGACTTTTAAATTTAAATATAATTTAGATTTATAAACACATCAATAACAAGAAAAAATATCAAGGAAACAGTAAATCCACTTAAGAGAGAAGGTGGCAAGGAAGTAACAGTCAGTAGAGAGAAAGTAGAATTGTTTAATACATTCTTTGCATCACTCTTCATGCAAAAAGAAAGTATAGCCCAACCCACCAAAAACATAACTGTAAAAGATAAACTAGAAATAAAAAATAAAATAAGCAAGAAAATGGTAAGAGAACACCTATCTGATCTTGACAAATATAAATCACTGGGACCTGATGGTTTACATCCCAGAGTTCTGAAGGAATAGTCAGATGCTATCTCAGAAATATGAATCGTATCTTTCAAAAATCCTGGAATACCGGGGAACTACCAGAGGACTGGAAGAGTTGATGTGGTTCCTATCTTCAAAGAAGGGGGGAAAAACAAGATTCAGGAAACTACAGACCAATCAGCCTAATATCAATACCTGGGAAGATACTGGAAAAGATAATCAGAAAACAGATCTGCCAACATCTAGAAATGAGTAAAGTTATAATTAAAAGCTAGCATGGGTTTGTTAAAAATAGAGCATGGCAACCCAATCTTATTTCATTCTTTAATAAAGTGACTTAATTAGTAGACTAGCGAAATGCTGTGGGCAGAGTATAGCTAGACTTCAGCAAGGCATTCAACAAAATAGACCAAACTTATGTGAGATAGATAGCATCACTACCAGATGAATTTGTAACTGGCTGACAAACTGTACTCAACGAGTTGTCCTTAATGGTACTACATCCACATGGACGGAAGTAAGCAGGGGATACCACAGGATTCTGTCTTAGATATCTAAGAAGTATTCCTGTAAATGATAGAGCCAGGGTAATTCCATTTTTAGCCTCAAAGTAACCTAATACATTTTACTGGAATATTACTGGAATATTAAGTAAGACATTGTGTAAGAATGTTCTTTGTATTTACAATAACAATATTGTTTTGCACATTCTGTTTAAAGATAGTTGGCAGGTCACAAAAGATAATTGACAGGTCAGACTGAACAGTTGTCATGCTAAAATTAATAATGCTGACAATAGTAGCAGCTGCCAAACAGAATGGAGATTATGGTAATGGGTAAACAGATGGGATGGAACTTATGGGAAAAAGACCCTTAACCACCCAGAAATTAGCCAATAGGATGAAGAGGTGGTAGCAAGGCTGAGCTTCTGAAAATGAATACAACTGTCATGAATTTCTATGGAAGATGTCTCCTATCTCCTCCCCAAAAGGAGAAGGAGTCCAAGCCTTTGCAAACGCTTCTAATAAATAGCTTTTTATATTGTTCGCATGTCTCTTGTTGTTGTCAAGCCTAAAAAGGTGATAATGGTCACAGGCCAGTACTCTTCAATATCTTCATAAATGACTAGATGAGGGAAAAGAAGGGGAACTTGTTTAATTTGTAGATGATACTAAGCTGGCAGAAATAGCAAACACCCAAGAAGATCCAAAAAGGATCCAAAAAGATTTGGACAGACTTGAAGAATGGGCCATATCCAACAACATTAAATTTAATGTGGAGAAAAGCAAGGTTTTACACTTAGGCAGGAAAAACAAAAGCTACAAAACTTGGCTCAAAAAAAATATATCAAAGCTACAAAGCTACGAAACCTGGCTCAAAAACAGAAACTTTGAGAGGGACCTTGGAGTCCTAGTGGATGATCACTTAGATATGAGCCAGCAGTATGTGGCAGTAGCCAAAAAAGCTAATATAATCCTTGGCTGTATGAATAGAGGCATAGAATCAAAAGTATTAGTACTGCTTTATAAAGCTTTAGTAAGGCCACACCTAGAATATTGTGTTCAATTTTGGTTGCCACATTACAAGAAAGATGTTGAGACTTTGGAAAAAGTGAAAAGAAGAGCAACTAGGCAGAGTGACTAAAATATGAAGAACAATTGCAGGATTTGGGTTTGGCTAGTCTAGAGAAAAGAAGGACTAGGGGTAACAGATAGCAGCATTCCAGTATTTGAGAGGTTGTCACAAAGAGGAGGGGGTCACCTTATTTACCAAAGCACTTGTAGGCAGGACAAGAAACAATGCATGGAAACTAATCAAAGAGAAAAGCAACCTGGTACTGAGGAGAGACTTCCTAAAAGTGAGGACAATCAATCAGTGGAACAGCTTGCCTCCAGAAGTTGTGGGTGCTCCATCACTGGAGGTTTTTAAGAAGAGACTGAACAGTCATTTGTCTGAAATGGTATAGGTTCTCCTGGTTGAGCAAGGGGTTGGACTAGAAGACCTCCAAAGTCCCTTCCAGCTCTATTCTGATTGTGTGAAACAGAAAAAAAACTATTTGTAATTTATGGTTTTGATGATTAGACAGGATAGATTATAGAAAGAGGAGAGTTATGTTATAACCATAAAGATGTGAATTTGTAATTGTACTTACAACTGTTGTAGAAAAGATGAGAAGCGATTCTTTGTATCTTTTTTCTTTCTTTTCTATTTTTCTTTCTTGCAATTTTAGCTTTGTTTCAATTTTTTTGCTTTACATTTGGCTGTATTAGTTTTTATCTCCCTTTTTAATATCTACATCTTCACTCCAAATCTGCAACACTAGCCAATTTTATAGATCTGTTAGTCAGATTCAAGAATAATGTATGAAAAAAACTGAACAACTCAAAAAATATAACTCTTGTTATATACCTCAGTTACCGTCCTATATAATGAAATCTAGAAAACAAACCATTTTGTACCAGAACTAGAAGGCTGATTCAAACTTGCAGTTCTTCAGCACTTGCACAGACATGCACACACAAATACACACACACACACACACACACACACACCTCCAAATACATATGTGCAAATCAATAAAAGCACAAGATTGGCATTGCTCACAGAGCAAGTATGTTCCAGTATAATTTTTTTCCTGAAGGGCAGAAACCCCACTCTCCACCCCACCATATTTAGGATGCACACCTCACAACAGCAGCCTTCACTATGCTGAGTAGGAATTTGGGAATTGAAATAAAACATTTCAGGAATACAACTGATTAAGAAAGTTTGCAACAAATAACACTAATGCCTGCTTTCCTTAGACTCCTCAATGAATCAAAAGAATTAACCATTTCTTTCCAGGGCTACAGTAACTGCTCAGAGAACAATGTCATCATCAAAATTAAAACAGAAAACTGAACTTGTCCTAGCTGGCCAAGAGCAGTGGCCAAACCAATGTTTGCCATCCATCTATGATTGCAGCTTGTGGGGGTTGAAGCCCAAACACTTCTACACTCAGTGTGGAAAAAGGAACATTTCTGGCTTAACCAAAAAGTGCAGGTAAAATTAGAAGCATCTTATTGGTCAGGCAAGCAACAGAGGGTAAAGGATCAACTGCACAACCACAATCTATTCTTGATCTTGAGAACTCGGAAAGTCTAAACTAAACTATTAATTCTAGACATTCCTCTCCTTGCTCTGATATATTTCTGGTCAAATGCTTTGCTCTGAAGGACACAAAGCCCTGCCAGCCATGAAAAGAAAACCTGCAGAGAGGAAAAACAAGCACTTACCTAACATAATCTCATATAGGAACAAAGAAGGCAGGATTTCGTCAATGTTTAAACAAACAACCATTTAGAAAAGTAATAAAATTCATGCTAACATATTGCTTTTTGAAACAGGAATGAACATAAATAGATGGTACAATATAGCCTACTTACTTGGCAAAAGTAGCTAGCAGGAGCCAATGGATATCCCCCCAAATCTTGTTTATCCCTGTTTTAAGGATTTGTCAAAGGCAACAGTTAATTGTGTAAATTAACAATTAAGAAGATTTTATTAGAGCACCACCCAAAGAGGTTGTTTTGGTTTTATTACGCCACAAACTCTCATGATTAAATCTATGCGATTAGGAAGCTGATGCTAAGAACCATATGTATAGCAAACACAGATCAGTAAGTACACATCTAAATTATCAATGGAAGCATTCAAGATTTTTCAAAGGGCATTACAGACAAGTTCTTTCTCTGATAGTGCCCAGCTCAAATGCTTCCAAAATAAAAACAGAATGGTTTGTCCCAGCAAGAAAACCTTGTGTGTATCCTGTCATGCCACAGTTCTTTTTTCTAGAAACCACTCTGTATCCGATTAAACTTTCAAAGTGGCAAAGGGAAAGTGGAGAACATTGGAATGTTCAATAAAGAAAGAAAACTCATTGTCTGTGAAAATGCCGTTGATGGCCAGTGCTGTGCTCAGCAGCCTCCCACTTCAGCCATTTGGAAAGCTTTATTCTCCCATCTGAATCTGGCTGCTATTGCAAATGAACTTTGACAAGCCTGCCAAAGGGAGAAGCTACAAGCACAATGGGAGGGAGAGGAAAGGCACCTGCTTCAGGTCCGTGCTGGAGTTCGGATGGTTCCTGCGAAGCACAGACTTGGGGCCTCCAGGGGCATAGGCAGAGTTGACCCAAGAGTGAGAGCGGTCGATCCCCTAGGCAATATGTAGAAAAACAGTATGAAAGGAAAAATAATCACAACAGATACAATGATCAGGGCAAAAGAACCACATCGACTGCTTCAGAAAAAGCAACAACCACTGTTGCTGTAGTTTAAATAAGATAAACTTTTGATGATGAAGGTGGCTGCAAAGAAAAGGAGGAATTTTAGTGCTATGATTCTGTTAAGCCAGAGAGTGCAATGAAATTCCAAAGGGAGTCAATTTGGAACTGTCAAGGACTATTTCGTAGTTTTAGGCATGTTGACATGGTCATCTGGGGCACACTGCATTAGAGAAGCAGAACAAGAATACAAGCAGGCCAGGGGTTGTTCATAATCTGCCAGCCCTAATGTGCAACTTGCTGAGAGAATTGCTTTTGAAAGTAAAAATAACTGGAACAGAGTGTAGAGATGTAGTATTTACTTGAGAAAAAGTGGTTATCTCCCTCCCTCCCTCCCTCCCTCCGTGTGTAGACATCTTGCCTGAGAAAATTGTTTCTGAAATCTTAAATGCTTGCATGTAGTTTTGAAAGCCTGCAGTTGGCCTAATAAAATTATTATTTTAATATAAATTCTTTTCCCCCACATTGCCAGTGTGGCTGCTTCTGCTTTTCAGACTCTTCTTGGATTTCGATTTGCTATTTGATCTGCTATTCAGAAGCATGAATTACAGATCTATGCTAACTTCTATAGTCGTTTCTTCCTCTATAAATTTGGTGGGAATCAGCATGATTTATTTCCAACGTTTGGTACAGAAAAAATAAGGTATTTGAAGCCTTTAAAAGAGCTTAGCACACTATAAATTGCCACCCCCAAAAAAGCCAAAACAAGGGGAAAAACAGTATTTCCACTTGCATGATACATCAGCCAATTTTTGCTGCATTAAATGAGGCTTTCTCCTTCCACCAGTGAGAACAACACTATAGTCCTCCTCATAAATCTCTCCTCAGCAGCCCTCTGATCTTGCTGGTGGTGTGGGGCAAGAGTCAAGCATCCATAAGATCCACAGAACTTCAAGACAGCCTGAGGAAGGAATCCCAAGAGTTATACTCTAATACATCAGAGGAAAATAGGTTGGAGGAGGTTGTTTTACATCAAATATGTCCAGATTCCATAATCAATCAGTCAATCAATCAATCAATCAGAATAGAGCTGGAAGGGACTTTGGAGGTCTTCTAGTCCAACCCCCTGCTCAAGCAGTAGACCCTATACCATTTCAGACAAGTGGCTGTCCAGCCTCTTCTTAAAAACCTCCAGTGGTAAAACACTCACCACTGAAGGCAAGCTGTTCTACTGGTTAATTGTTCTCATTGTTAGGCAATTTCTCTAATTCCAGGTTGCTTCTCTTCTTAATTAGTTTCCAACCATTGTTTCTTGTGCTTTGGAAAATAATTTGACCCCTTCTTTGTGGCAGTCCCTTAAATATTAGAATGCTGCTATCAAATCACCCCTCCTTCTTTTCTCTAGACTAGCCAAACCCAAATCCTGCAGCCATTCTTCATATTTTTTTTGTCTCCGGGCCCTTAATCATCTTAATTGCTCTTCTCTGCACTTTTTGCAGTCTTTTTTATAATGTGATGACCAAAACTGGATGCAGGATTCTAGGTATGGTCTTACTAAAGTTTTATAAAGAGGTACTAATACTTCACATGATTTTGATTCTATGCCTGTTTATACAACCAAGGATTGTATTAGCTTTTTTAGCTACTACTGCACACCGCTCACTCATATTTAAGTGATTATCCACTAGGACTCCAAGGTCCCTCTCACAGTTCCTGTTTTTGAACCAGGTTTCGCCTAATCTATATTTGTAGCTTTGGTTTTTCCTGACTAAGTGTAAAACTTTGCTTTACTCCACATTAAATGTCATATTGTTGGATAGGGTCCATTGTTCAAGTCTGTCAAGATCTTTTTGGATCCTGAGCTTGTCTTCTGGGATGTTGGCTATCCCTACCAGCTGCCCTGCCTACTAAGCTGTCATTTTATAATATCCACAATATAGAATGGCACTCTCAGAGAGATTCAGATTGCTTTATTAATCACATTCTATTAATAATTTCACATGTCCAATTCATCGAACTATGTAGATAAATGTTTGTCAGTAATAACCTGGGCCATATAGGGGCAGCTCTAATTGCCAGGCAACAGAATCATTTCCCTCTAGTAGCAAAACCAGTGGTTTTCCATCAAATGTGAGATTTGCTTTTCATATAGCACAGATGTTGGGCAGAATCAAATTGCTGGTGTAATTTCACTGCGAACTGTTCTAAAGTTGCTACTTCCAAAGAAACATTTTGGTGGTTTTATGGTTCACTGGTTGCATTTTTTTTAAAAAAATCTAACTAAAGGCTTGGGAAAGAAAGGGAGAAGGAAAAAAAGTAAGAAAGATAATTGCATATAAGACAAATATTAGAATAAGCCATGTAAATGCTGCTTCCATGGAAAGCTAAGATCAGATTATTCTCCTATAAATCCAAAATTATGCAGGGCAATGTACTCTATTTAAAGAAGTGAACTAAGAAAATCCTTTCTCTAAGAAGCCCAAAGCATAAAGACTAGAGAAAAAAAGTGCCAACAATGGATGGGTGTTGGTGGAGCCAATGTTGGCATGCCTTTCCCTAAATTTACATAAATATGCCCACCCCATATAGAACACATATATTCACATACATACATCCTTCCCAGTCACATCTCCCCAGATGATTAATGCAAATCAACTGAAACAGGCATTTTTTAAATAATTTAGCACTAAGAGAGGGAAGTTCTTACAGAGCTGGGGAGGAAAACATACATTATCTGGGTAGAATTAACTATTTTGTTTTTTCTCTGTGCAGGGTAGGAAAAATGGAGAGAGAGGGACTTTGTACAGAGGATAAGAAATCCCTTCAAGTCACATTTAATACAAAAAACAAACTTTCTCCTTCTCCAGATTAGAATCTGGGATTAGCCCAATCTGTGAAATAGATGCCCAGGCTAATCTGATGAGCACACACACATTTGGAAAAACCAGGGAACCTAAAGACTGATGGGGAACCATTTTTATGTCTACAAATCTTTACATTTCTATTTTTTAATTATTCTGTGTGGTAGAATGTATTTATTACATATCCAAATTGCCTATTGGTAATATTTTCTGGGTAGGGAGCAATCTATTAAAACTGTACAAAAGCAGCAGAATAAGAACAGAAACATGCATAAAGAACAGCACAACCAATAAAATTCAATCACAAGAACACAGTGTTAGAATTGTGAAAAACCAAAATGCCTGATTATCACCTGGCACTTCAAAGACCATAATTTTGGCAAATGGTTTGGCAGCTAAACAAACTTCCTCCTTCTTGGGAAGGACAGGGTCAGTGTTGTACTAACCTTGCTGCTGATAATCTTCTGAACCTCTTCATCTGGGGAAGTTGGTGTAGTGGTCAAGTCAGGATTGCTGTTGCTGATACTTTTGGAACGAGAGAGATTAAGGCTGACAGGGCGCCCAGTTGCACGGGACAAGGTAGCATATTGAAGGGTACCACTGTGGGGTGGCACTCCAATCTCTGGAAGAAATACAGAGTGAGTCAGACTGGGAGAATGACTTCTTCTATCATTTGTGCAGACCTTTAAAAATGTCTATGAATCTCTCACGTGTGATTGAGCTGTCCATTATTAGATTCTCCTTTGTTCAAGCAAAGGGGAAATTATCATAAATTTCCCCTCTTTTCCATTAGGGTGTTCCATTGCCTTCCTTTTAGAAAACTCATTAAAATATTTTTCTACTGCAATTTCGCACTGGAGCTTCTTGAATTTAATTTTGTGTTATAATGCTGAAGTGGATTAGAGGATGTTCTTTTACACTATATGTTGTACGAGTACTATTTTAACTCTCATCCTCCTGTTACCTATAATGGAGCATGTCATGCTGTTCTCAATCTTGGCTGCTGCACTGGGAGGAAATGGAGAGACTGGGTAAGCAACCATACTACAGGTAGACCTACTTAATGACTGCCCTGTTTAGTAACCATTTGAAGTTACAATGGTGCTGAAAAATGTAACTTTATTATCAGTCCCAACATTTATGATCACCACAATATCCTTGCAGTCTTGTGGTTGACATTTGGGCACTTTGCAACCAATGGATCTTTACAACTGTTGCAATGTCCCATGGTCTCAATACCACACTTCATAGCTGGATTCCAACAAGCAAAGTTGATGGAGAAATTGACAGTAAAACTGTAATTCATGGTGAGCCACATCTCACTTAATAATCTGTGGTGATTTGCTTAATAATCCCAGGAGAAGTGACAATGTAAATCTGATTAGGTGATATTTTTGTTAATGTCTGAGTCACTTAGCTGGTCCTTAATTGTGATCATTAAGTAAAGACTACCTATAGTCGGAGCCTCTGAAATCCTACTTTTAATTTCAAATTGGGAGAGGGAATATCCCAAATACGATAGGTTTCTGCTCAGGATATTTTCCTCTGCAGAAATTAAGAGAATCACTAAGCTGTCCTTGATCCTCGAAGTTTGGTTTGGCAATCCCTCAGTTTGCTTCTCAGACCTTTTGGAACCACTCAGCAGCACCTAAATCAGTCACCCCAGGTTTATAATCATTCAATTAAAGATGTCAAATATAAACAAGTCTTTGTTCTCTGCATACAATTGAAATTGATAAATGGTGTTATCTAATTACTTCATCCATTTTAACAGAGATATTTAATAATACAAGAAGTGGAGGACTTTTTTGTGAATATAGGTCTTCACTGAATACTTGGAATGCTTCCAAATGCGCCTAAGTTGCAGGCCATGCAAATGGCTCACAGCCCATAGGAATGATGATCAGACACACAGTTCTTTGCTTGCCCCATACATATACCAAGCATGGCAAACCTGGGTCCATCACAGGCAGACGGAAAATGTAGAAGATATAAGAGGCCAACAGATGATTGTGGCCATGTTGATCTTGGCTGCTTTCCAGGCTCTTATGGATCTGGTTCACCATCACAGCAATGGCTTCAAATGCTGCACGACCCAAGTTAACTGGAAGAAGCAAGAAAAGAAATAGGGAAAGGTGAGACTGAACTGAGTAAGACAAACATTAGCCATAGAAGAGAAATTACATACATCAAAAAATGGACAATTTACAATAAACATAAAATATGGCATTCTAGCTGATATTTATATGTTTAATATCTATAGTCACCTGTAAAATTTGCTCTGTCTCTCCATCTTCTAATGAAAAAAGGAGTGCAGAATGAAAAACCAAAAGAGACTATCATGAGTGCAACCTGGGCTATATTAGCATTGAATGATTTTTTATTAAACTATCAGAGGATGAATGCCTGGGGCCTTTTCTTCTACTTTATGCACACAAAGATACAGGAAGAATTTCTCTGGCAGTTTTTCTATTTCACTTGCTTCAAAGCATCATCTCTTTCAACCTGAGATGGGAAACTCAGTAGGCAGAGACTGCAGGTAGCAGGTAATGACATGGTAGTATCAGTGGATGGCAACAGCAGCTTTGGGCTTTTCTTTTAACTTTTACAGGACTTTTTTTTTAAAAGCACTTCTAGGAGTATAAAGCAAGTTGTCTTTTTTTTTTTAATTGTATCCTATGTAGCAGTGGGATTAGCTAGCTTCCTAAAAGGAAGAGACTGGGAACTGGTTTGTTATCATGTGCAATGTGACCATGATTAAAATGTTTGGCATAAAGTGAAAATGAGGTTCTTTTCACTAAAACTCCTTCACATGGCAGAAGACAGCAAAAAATTCATTAATATTTACTTCAAACAAATAAGGAAGACAGTGATATGAGTAGCATATAAATTTTAAAAATTCCACTAGCCATTTATTATTTTACTGCAGGCTTTTAATAATAAATAGTCCAACCCTCCACCCAAGCAGGAGACTCTACACCATTTCTGACACATGGCAGTCCAATCTCTTCTTAAAAGCCTCAAGTAATGAAGCTCCCACATCTTCCGAAGGCAAGCTGTTCCATTGGTTGATTGTTCTCACTGTCAGAAAGTTTCTCTTTATTTCCAGGTTAAATCTCTCCTTGTTCAGTTTCCATCCATTATTCCTTGTCTGGTCTACAGGTGCTTTAGAAAATAGCTTGACCCCTTTGTTAGGAATCTGTGCACCAATTAGTTGGGTTGGCAATATATAAACCAACAATGTATGTTTGTAGCTTTAAGAAAAAATCAATGTATTGATTTATACTATATTCCGATTGGTTGATTATATTGCAAATTACCATAAGAGGGAGCTAGAGATCATAGCTTGCTCTTTCTGACATTCTGTTTCTCTGACATTCTGTTGCTATCTAAGGATCTCTGTTGTATTTATGCTGTGCTTATATTTTGATATTTTTGTTTACTGTAAATGACAAAGGCAACTGGTAAGAAGACTTTGTAATTGGATATTCTTTGGACTGTTAAACGTATATGATCTGGACCATTTATTGGACTGTGCTATTTCTTAAAGTAAACTTTAACTCAATTTAGTGTATCTGTGTATGGCTGGATAATTATTCATAACTACTCTCATAAACGTTTCCATGTGCATATCCTTGTTACTCAAGGGTTATTCTGTGCATATCATAACACTCTTCCTCTCTGTGGTACAGAATTGGAAATGTACCATTCTCCATCAATGGTTTGAAGATCTTAAATCTGTTTCTATGATTGAACAAGCATTTAATTTTCAATAATAGTATTGCGAGATTATTTAGAAACCTGGAAATAACCAACACATGTCTATTTTTAATTTCCAATGTTTTCCCAGCATAGAATAAACTACCTAAACTAAAGGGAACATGAATATATATGGTGTGTTTGTGTGTGTGTATGTGTGTATGTGTGTGTGTGTGTGTTCAGTTTTAATTGGTTAACAAAGGTATTTGGGGAGAGGGTATTTTCCCCTTATTTTATTTCTTTTCTTTTTACACCCCCCCACCCCCCACACACACCTATAAATACAAAAAATGCTAATTAAAAGGCTGCCTTTAAAAGATTTCTTAAAAGTTAGATGACTGAAAGGTTTAAATCCTACGCATTGGGGCTACTTGAGAGTAAGTCCTAATGAATGATTTGTTATCATACACGAAACTGTGTTACATGTGCCATAAAATTGGACGCCCTCAAAAACAAATATACTCAGATGCTTTTTAGTCAAATAAGACCTGTCATATATTCAACATAATGCAAAAAGAAAATGTTTTAAAATGATTGTGTATGATAACTTAGTATAAAAAAAACAAATTTATGGCAGAAAAAAAATCAACTACTTTCTGTGCAAGGGCATTAACAGACTAACAGAAATACAACAGTGATTGACAGCATTTCTTGCAAACAGCTAAAAAAACTGACAGCACCAGCTAGCTGCTTGTCCCAAGTAGAATTCTACCACTGTGATCCAGAACAATGCTGAGATGTGTACTGATACTTCAAAACTTTTTTGTTATGCTGGCATCCAGAGAGGACTCATCTCAATGTGGAAGTCTAAATCCAAAATGTGAAAGCTGGAATATTACGTTTACTTAACAGAATAATAGAATAAGAGAGTTGGAAGGATCTTGGGGGTCTTCTAGTCCAACCCCTTACTCAAGCAGAAGACCCTATGTCCTAGTGAAGATACATTTTTTTAGTGAGTGGAGGGTATCCCATACCGCAAACATGTTACTTTCCATCCAACTCTGTAAGATTAAGGGTTTTTTTTAAAAAAAATGGAACATTAGGTTATTCCACTTGTTTCAGATAACAAGAAAATCCTTTCAGAGGAAATGGAGAGGACCATAGATATGACACTCACCAATCTGCCCTGCAATGACAGGTGGATACACAATGAGTTGGATCAGCTTGTTGAGAATCTGATGACTGAAGGCCACCAAAGGTTCCAGGCTAGCTACTCGTAAGTTGCCCACACTAGATTTCAATTCAGACTCTATGTTGTTCTCTGTTAGGATCACATCTTTGAGTCGAAAGGGAAAGGTATATTCTTCTAGCACATGTATCAAAGTGAAGAACTTGTCCAAGAATGGATCCTACCCAGAACAAAGAATAGCTGTGTGTTAAATATTGATTAAGTTTTATCATCATTTAACTATACCAATAATATGATGTGATAAAGAGATAAAAATGCATAACAAGTATTAAGGTTGGACAAGAATTTATGGTTCTCCAGATATTGCTGAATTGTAATTCCCATAATCTTCAACTATCATGACTAGGAATGAAGGGATTATACTCTAGCAGCAAGGGTGTATATATGTGTGTGTTTGTACCGTGTTTCTCATGGCTAGGACGTCTTTTCGGGGGTGAATTAATTTCTCCACACACACCCCAGCACCGTCTCCAACAACAGCTTCTGAGTCGCTTCCGCTTTTCCCCTGACCCCGTAACAACAGGAAAAAAAAGATTTTGAGGTACCTGGGAGCGTTGTGCGCTGCGTTTTGGTTTAATCCCGAGCGGCTGGGTGGGCATGAGAAGAGCTGAGCGAGCGTCTCTGCTGCTTCTACCCTTGGTGCTCCAGCCTCGGGCTCTACAAGTTTTCAAAAGTCCCAGTGCGCAGCCCGTTCCTGCATTCCAAGCGCCCAGGCCGAGCTGCAGCTGTCCCTCTCTCGCCAGCACCGTCTCCAATAACAGCGGCAGCGGCGGCGGGAACCGTGGAAGTTACAGAGGCAACTCTCCAACCCGAGAAATGGCTAAAACACTTCCACAGTTCCCGCCGCTGCTGCCGCTGTTGTTGGAGATGGAGCTGGTGAGAGAGGGACAGCTGCAGCTCGGCCTGGGCGCTTGGAATGCAGGAACAGGCTGCGCACCGGGACTTTTGCAAACTTGCAGAGCCCGAGGCTGGAGCACCAAGGGTAGAAGCAACAGAGACGCTCGCTCAGCTCTTCTCACGCCCACCCAGCCGCTCGGGATTAAACCAAAACGCAGCGCACGGTGCTCCCAGGTACCTCAAAATCTTTTTTTTCCTGTTGTTACGGGGACGGGGGAAAAGCGGAAGCGACTCAGAAGCTGTTGTTGGAGACGGCGCTGGCGAGACAGGCACCAGCACCGGTGGGAACCATGGAAGCTACAGAGGCCTGAGAAGCGACTGAAACGCTGCCGGACATCCACACTGACGCTGCCCGCCTGCTGACCCGGTTAAGGGAGGGGTAAGGGAGCCCTCCATGCTCCACCATGGTGTTAGGAGCAGCTGATGGTGAGGCGTAGCTGCCCGCGGGGCCCTCTCCTAATGGCAAGTTCCCCCCCGCCTTCCCCCCCCAATTTCGCATGTTTTAAACTAGGCCTAAATTTGGGGGGAGGGGCTTAATTTCATTTTATGCCTAGAAACATGCTGGGTCTTCCTATTGGGGGGGCGTATTGTTGGAGAAACACGGTGTGTGTGTGTGTGTGTGTGTGTGTGTGTGTGTGTGTGTGTGTGAGTGATAATATCCAACTCTATATTAAGGAAGATTAGGATCTGTTTTTAAATCCCTTTATCAAATGTCGGTCTCTTTCATTGTAAGAACCTCAGGAACTGCCAAGCCTGCTATACAATCATCTTTATTTTCTTAGGTTTAGCGAGATAGCCATTTCATAAATATGATCTCTAACACAGACTATTTCTTAAGAATAACTATGAACATTCTGTTTTTCTCAATGGATGTCAGGTCCACCATCATGTCTTGCCATTCTGTTGGAAGTGGGGGGGGGGGGGGGGGCTTGCTGGCATTTTTGCATGCTTTTGCTTTTGCTGTAACTGCTTGGGAACTAGGGAGCGGGCTTGTCTTCAGAGACGGAGAGGACTCCCTTCCAGCCAGTTCCAGCCTGATTTCAACGCCGTCATGCCCTGAGGATGAATTGTTATCTGCCTTACCTCAGTGTTCTCAAAACAACCTTGCAGCATCACATTGGCTGCCGGTGCACTGGTCAGAGGGATTGAGCTTGCTTTGGGCATTGCATGGGACTTTTCAGAATCCACCTTGCTTTCCTGCAATCACTTTCTATCAGTAAACATTCTTTTGATTCTACTTAATGGATTCAAGAGTCTTACTTTTCTGAGGGACCAGCTGGGGCAGGTCCTTACATTAAGCAAAGGTCGGTCAACCCGGAGAGGCACACTGCCCTACCGTGGGGAATGTGTAATAGATGTCAGCCCAAAGCAGTGACCAGGAGGAAGCTGAATGTTGGGGGAAGCTTCATCCAGACCTCCCCTCGGCTGGACCTCTCTGAGTGAACACCTGGGTGCACTGGCCTGCTATAGACTGCTCCTGGATGACCAAAGAGCCAGTCTTGTGACTACTGAAGCTCTGGAATATGGGACCAACTTTCCCACCAACGTCAGCAAGCCACCCTGGGGCGGATTTCCCTCCCCCGTCATTGGTCTTACCTTCCAGTTCCAGCTTGCATGGCTCTACTCAAGGTAAGGTTTGTGCTCGGCCAAAGAGGTGGGGGGGAACAGCGGATGGGTGGGCCATGTGGGCAGCGCAGCCTTGTGTTCCCGCACAGACTGGATTAATTGCTTTGGGGGGGGGGAACATTTCTCTGTGGCCACCAAAAAATTTTCACGGACCACCAGTGGTCCCTGGCCCACTAGTTGACAACCACTGTTTTGGGGGGCATTTCTTAAACTACTGAGGACTGACATGGGGCTTAGCTCAAGTCACCACTCCCAAACTAATGGGGGGGTATGAATGAATGAATTCAGTGTTGGAACAATATCTCAGGTGTTACATCAATTATCAGGAAGATAATTGGATTGATATTTGTTGCCTTTTGCTGAGGTAGCATTTAATAATTCTGTGCATATGCCTGAATTGCCATTCAATGACAAACACTCCCCCCAGTCGCATCACTGAAAGAGTGGGTCTGTCTCCCAACAGCGAAATACATGGCTGGTGGTGAGGAAGGCTCTGGTGGATGTATGTGAGGCTTATAAGAAGCAAGCCAAGAAGCATGAGTAACCCAAGCCATTTAAAATTGGTGACCAAGTTTACTTTTCCATCTGCTTCCTGCAATCGTTACAACCATCAAAGAAGTTGTAGGCCTTTCCCAATTAAATGCATCATTAACCCCATAACTGTAGAACTAGATTTGCCCAAGTCTCTTTGACGGGTGACCCTATGTTTTACTGCAGCTTATTGAAGCCTGAGGTCACTTCTCCCCTTAGATCTAAAATTCCACCCATCCTGGAGCCTTTAATGATAGAAGGGGAGCAGCACTTTGAAATCCTGGAAATTCTAGATTCCTGTAAGCATAGGGGAACTCTTCAGTGCTTAATGGCCTGGAAAGATTTCCCAACAACTCAGAATGAATTGGTTGACCATCGCCACGTTAGAGCCCCTAAACTCATAAAACACTTCTGTAATCAGAATCCTGACAAATGTAAATCACATTTCTCTTGTTTCTTCTCTCCCTGTTTCTTCTGTTATGTTCTCCAGGACTAAAGTTGCTGATTAGAGGGGCAGCATGTCAGGTTCACCACTGTGTCCTATCATTCTGTTGGAAGGGACAGGGAGGAGGCTTGCTAGAATTTTGGCATGCTTTTGTTTTTGCTGTAACTGCTTGGGAATTAGGGAGGGGGATTGTCTTCAGAGATGGAGCGGACTCCTTCCCAGCCGGTTCCAGCCTGGTTTCAAGGCCATCATGCCCTGAGAGTGAACTGTTATCTGCCTAGCACTTCAGCATTCTCAAAACAACCTTGTGGCATTACATTGGCTGCTGGTGGATTGGTCAAGTGGGGTTGGGCTTGTTTTGCATGGGACTTTTCAGGTGCTTTCTTTCCTGCCTCCTTGCTTTCCTGCAAATTACTTTCTCTCAATAAAAGTTCCTTTGATTCAACTTAATGGATTCAAGAGTCTTACTTTTCTGAGGGACCAGCTGGTCCTTACAATTTTGCCTAATAAGCTACCAAAGAAGAAATATATTATGAATTTGGAAAAGTGTTTGGCATGTATTTTGTAAAAAGAAAATTAATTTATATGTGAACTAAGACTTCAGTTTTAGATTTGAAGGGGGAAAAACTAATGCAAATTCCCAGCTGAAAAACAACATGACGATACAACCAGGCCTTGGTTTGTTCTTTGTTTTCCTAGAGCAACATAGGAGATCAACCACTGACTTGTCCTCTCACCTGAGTGTGAACAGAGGAGACAGCCAGAATTTCCACACTGAAGACGCCTTTGTGATTATCCACCCACTTCATGCCAGGTAGCTGCACCTACAGAGAAGCAACCCAGGAAAAGATTTATAAACAATGCATAAAAAGTTCTGCCAGTGGAAAGTCTAGTAGTCATTGTGAAACAGGCTACAATTCTGAAAAATGAAAACTTATGATTAGTCTGACCTGTCAAAGCCTGGCACAAATTGAGAGAAGTGCAATGGGAGTAAGAAGTGAGAAAGGAGGCATCTTTCACAATGCAGCCCAGGTAAGGAAAGGCCTTTCAGCCTCTGCTCTCTGAGAAAACAAAGCCATTCCTTACTTACATCAGGAGTGAGCACTGAATAGCTGGGTGGAGGCTTGTCAACTGACACTGGCAAGCAAAACTGCCCTGTTCTCAGCCGTCCATGTTGCATGAGAGGAATCCACTAGAAAGAGAAAACAGGCAAAGTTAAGTTGCAGGTTGGCATCTTCACTTGCCACTTTTCCTCTGCAATCCAACCCTCTCTTCCTGTCCCACAGATCAGTTTTAGTAAGAAAAGCAGACCTACAATCACATACAGAACATAGAACAAAAGAATTCTTCTTCTCCAACTATTCCACCTTCCATATTTAAGGCAATTTACTATTGGTATTGACAACAGTAAACCGTCATAAATATGAGCCAACAGGCAAGCATCCGAATTTTAATCATGTGACCAATGGGATACTGCGATGGTCATAGGTGTGAAAAACGATCATATATTACTTTTTTCAATGCCACTGTAACTTTGAATGGCCACTGAACAAATGGAGGTAAGTTGAGGACTGCCCGTAAAGGGCATTCCAGGAAAATTGATCAAATATGATGAATACCGTATATACAATGACAGATACTCTCAATTCATGCCAAAATGTATTGATAGTCTTAAAGCAGGGGATTCTCCTTGTCCCTTTATCTGAGTTTCTTTGCAATGGAAGATAGTGGAGATTTAAACTGGTGCCCTTTTACAATGAATCACAGGCGCAACCCTTGTATCCACATAACTCCGTATTTCTTTTGAAACTCACTGTGTAACCAACAGGAGTCTCCAGAGGTGTGTTCTGCTTCTGTTGACAGCTAATGTGATAAAAGGTGAAAAGCAGGTGATGGTTGTCTGTCAAATTGGCTGGGATCTTCAGCTTGAACTCCTCATAGAACTCAGGTGACCTGTGGACAGGGATGTTGGAAAGCTGCCATTTAACACTTTACAAAATTTCTCATTTACATATTTGTGATAAAGTTCTGCACAGGAAATCAAAGATCATTTTTTCTGGCAAAGTTTGCATAGTTAAGTGTAGACTAATCAAACAACCACCTATTTACAGCCACCATCAATTCCTAATCTGGTTGCTAAAGACTCACTTGTTATGGTACACAACAGCTGTGTAAGCCTCTTTGGCAAACTCACTGCAACTTGATTTTCCAAAGATAACCTGAAGCATAAGGAGAAGCAAAAACAGTATCAGTCAGGAACAGAGAGCATGAAACTCATCTGATCAAGGGAGGGAGCATGAGAGATAAACCAGTGAAACAAGCACTTAGAAAAGCCATACGATTTTCATTATTTGCCCACAAATACCACATATACCCATTTGCAGAGTCAGCATATTACCCCCAACAATATTTTACTGACCTTGGAAGGATGAGTTGACCTTGAGCTGGTGAGAATCGAACTGCTGCCAACTGCCATCAGTTTGATTCTCACCGGCCTAAGGTCGACTCAGCCTTCCATCCTTCTGAGATTGGTAAAATGGGGACCCAGATTGTTGGGGGCAATATGCTGACTCTGTAAACTGCTTAGAGAGAGATGTAAAGCACTATGAAGTGGTATATAAGTCTAAGTGCTATTGTTATTGCTGTATTTCAATACTTTCCATTCTGGCATGTCTGGGAAGAAAACAAATCTCCATGTGATCCATATCCTTTCCTTTCTTACATTATTCGGATTATTCAAGTCCAGAAATACCATAAGGATAACCTACTGCTACACTGAGCTGAATTTTTTTCACACCCTTTCAGGTATTTTCAATGGCTATTATAACATTGTCATTTACAATCAAGGTAACAAAATCCAATACTTTCCCAACTCCACTAAGAAACACAGACATGATCTTTCAGAAACTCTCCCTTAAGAACTTTCATAAACCCTGGTTGCAGATTTACGCTCTGTAACAGGCTCTGGTTGAAACCATAAGCAAATTGCTATTTTGCAGGAACATTTCTAAGGAAAACTGAAAACATCTCCCTTAAATTGGTTACTCAGCATGATTTCTTCTGAACTTATCAAACTTTTTGGCAGGTCATACTGTAATGATAAACCCTGACTGGCTATTAAATTGGCTGGCAAGCACCAGACAACCATTAGTATAAAAGACCCATGGTTTGAGTATTAAATCTGCTGCAAATACAGCAAAAATTTCATAAGGGAAAATGTTGCACTTTGAGGTTATTTTCTAAACTCAAAATACATTTTCTTTTATGAAAATAGAAATTATAGGAATATAAGTTGTGGGTCTGGTCATAAATGTAGCCCCTCACCCACCCTGAATGGGATAGCTCAAACATGAAAACTGAGTCAAGAGAGAATATTTGAGGCGGTCTCTTCAGGGGGTCCCTTCTGCTCCACAATCCAGTGATGGATGCAAGGCAGGAGGAAGCAACTGAGGATGGGTCTCACTCACAGGCATGGCTTGGCTAGGATCCTCTCCAGCCATAAACTGTAGTTTCACTGCAATGTTTCGCACTGAGCCTTGACGGCTGCTGAAATTCAGATTCTGTGGATAAATGTAGAGTAGATTCCTGAAAAAAAATATGAAAAAGAAAAATATTAGACACAAGAGGAGAAAGGAGGAATGTATTATTCTTGAAGCCATAGAAGCAGAAAATTTTATCTTCCAAATCAGAATGTTTTCACATGGAATGCCCATGCTGCTAGCTTTGCTGTTTTTCAGAATTATCCCATTATTCTTTGCTTCCCAAGTTTTTCATTTTATATTCCAATCTTTTGTGCTATGCGCTCACAACAACACATGCTCAGTTCTTGAATTTTTTTGTAGCTTCCTCTGCACCCCTCATTGTTTATACTTCTATAAAATTCTGGGTTTCTCGATTTTCCGGTTTGTCGGCTTTGCGAGCGGTAGGGATTCGCGAAGCTGCGAAGGAACCTTTTATTGAGCAGAAGTGATAGCAGAACAAAAGCAAAGGACTCTAAATCCCCTCAGGCAATACACTTAGAAATAAGGCATTAGAAACCTCCAGCCAATCCACAGGTGTGAAGATGTTATGGTAACGACTGTCCTGAGAACCAGATAAGCAGGCATTCCCAGGTTCATCTTCCACCTGCCTTCAAAGTGAAAAAAACCCACATGGCCCTCCCCCCTTATACATTCCCCAAAAGGTGAGAAAATCTCAGGGCGCTTAGGTGCCAGGATAAAGGTTATAAAATAGCAGTTGTCAAAGGTAACAAGAAAGAAGTATATTTGGGCTCCCCCACCTTTCCTCCCAGTTGAATGGCAGTATCACTCTAGGGATCTGACAATAATCTAACAAAAATGTGTATTATTACTAGAATTATATAAGCTTGTTAAATGAAAAATATAAGTGATACTATTTTATTTGTATCAAAATGTATGACACACAGGTGCCAGACTGTTCACGTATTGATATGTTTATAAAAAATAAAAAAACTGGGTGGGGGGAGGGGAGAAGAATTATTTGTTAAAGCGTGTGTAAACACTTTGAGAAAATTATCAAACCGGAAGGAAAAGAATTAAAGAGAGAGACAGAAAAACTTTTTTCTTCTTTAAAAATACAGGAAATTGGACTCCCAAACTGGGAAGACGTGGAATTGAGAAGGCATTTTAAAATGCTGGAATTACAGATTTAAAAATTAACGCTGCTTTTATATTTGAATTACAATTCAAAATAATTAAAATCAGATCTACCAGCAACAATGTTGCTATGCAGGGGGCGCCATCTGCTGATGAGAGAAAAATATACAAGACTGGGAAGATTTCTTTGAAGGACTGTGAAAATACCTACTGGGTTATATTCACCTACCCTAAGACTACTGGAGATTTAAATATGAGAACAAGGAAGATTTTTAATTAAAATGACCCCGAAATATTATGTTATATGATTGAACTTATAAAAATGACTTAAGGAGGCTTGGATAACTCTCTGAACTATTTTAATGGAACTGACTGACTATTTGTGAGACATAAAGAACTGTGGTTAGTGTGCATTCTGAAGAATAGCCTCAGCTTTGAATAAAGGGTTCTTGGGCTATTGGCCAAAAGTGGGATTTATTAAACAAGACAAGATGCAATACATGGACGAAAGGAGTAGAACTTTGAATGAGACGGAGCTGATGTTTCAAAGCATAAAAGATATGATACAGAAAGAACACAAGGTGACTATGGAATTAATAGATGGCATCGACAAAAAACTGGAAAATATTATACAAGGGATAATGAGTAAAGACCAAGATGCTCAGGAAAAGAAGGAGCCAGCAGAAGGGATGGAGGAAGAAGCAGAACTGGGAAATCAGCGAAAAGAAAACAACAAGGAGGAGATATCAATAACATTAACAATTACTGATGAATCTAACCGGGGGAAAACATTTTAAGAGATTTAATAAGAGAATTGGAGAAGCAGGAAGATGCTTTGGCAATAGTAATGGGAGACTTCAATTATCTTGATATCAATTGGAAAACTAATTCTGCACCAAGTGAGAAATCAAATAAGTTCCTAACCAACCTAGCTGACAACTTTGTTGTCCAAAAGGTAGAGGGTGAAACTAGAGGGACAGCCAGACTGGACTTAATTCTTACAAACAGAGAAGAAATGATAGAGGGAGTTGAAACTGCAGGAACCTTAGGTGAGAGTGACCATGTCATACTAGAATTCAACATAACACAAACACAAGCAACAGAACATCATGACACCAGAGTCTTGGATTTTAAAAGAGCTGATTTCAATAAACTCGGAGAGAACTTGGGAAAGATTCCATGGATGAAAATCCTAAAGAGGAAAACAACTCAAGAATCTTGGGAAACTCTAAAAAGTATGATCATAGAAGCCCAGACCAGCACAATACCACTGAGAAAAAAAACAAGAAATCCAAGAAGAAACCAGCATGGCTGCACAAAGATCTCTCTGGCAAATTGAAAGAAAAAAAGGACAAGTACAAAAAATGGAAAGAAGGACATACAACTAAGGCAGAATATCAGCAGATAGCCAGAATCTGCAAAGACGGAGTCAGGATAGCAAAGGCTCAGAACGAACAAAGACTTGCAACAAAAGTCAAAGATAATTAAAAAAAGTTTCTTCCAACATATAAATAACAAGAAAAAAATCAAGGAAACAGTCGGTCCACTAAAGAGATGGCAAGGAAGTAACAGGCAACAGAGAGAAAGCAGAACTGCTTAACTCATTCTTTGCATCTGTCTTCACGCAAAAATAAAACTATAGCTCAACCCACCAAAAACATAATTGTAAAAGACAGATCAGAAATAAAAGTTAAAATAAGCAAAAAAATAGTAAGAGAACACCTGTCTGATCTTGATGAAAACAAATCACCGGGGCCTGATGGATTATATCTCAGAGTTTTAAAGGAGCTGACAGAGGTTATCTCAGAACCACTGCACCATATCTTTAAAAAATCCTGGAGCACTGGGGAACTACCAGAGGACTGGAAAAGAGCTGATGTGGTTCCCATCTTCAAAAAAGGAAAAAAAACAGACCCAGGAAACTATACACCAATCAGCCTAACAGCAATACCGGGGAAGATACTGGAAAAGATAATAAAAAAACAGATCTGCCAACATCTAGAAACAAGTAAAGTAATAACTAGCAGTCAGCACGGGTTTGTTAAAAACAGATCATGCCAAACCAATCTTATTTCATTCTTCAACACAGTGACTAAATTAGTAAACCAGCAAAATACTGTGTACATAATACAGTATATTTAGATTTCAGCAAGGCATTCGACAAAGTAGACCACAACCTACTTCTTAGTAAGCTAGAAAAAAGTGGAATAGATAGCATCACCACTAGATGGATTCGCAACTGGCTGACAAACCATATCCAATGAATAGTCCTTAATGGGTCTATGTCTACATGGAAGAAAGGAAGCAGTAGGGTGCCACATGGTTCCCTCTTAGGCCCACTACTCTTCAATATCTTCATAAACAACTTAGATGAAGGAATAGAAGGGGAACTTACCAAATTTGCAGATGATACTAAACTGGCAGGAATAGCTAACACCCTAGAAGATAGGCTCAAGATCCTGATGGATCTTGACAAACTTGAACACTGGGCCCTATCTAACAAAATGAAATTCAATGGAGAGAAAAGTAAAGCCCTACACTTAGGCAAGAAAAACCAAAAGTACACATATAGATTGGGTGAAACCAGGCTTAATAGCAGTAACTATGACAGGGATCTTGGAGTCTTAGTGGACAACCAGCTAAATATGAGCCAGAAGTGTGCAGTGGCAGCCCAAAAAGCCAATGCAATCCTAAGTTGCATTAACAGAGGGATACAATCAAGATCAAGAGTAGTACTAATACCATTCTATAAAGCCTTAGTAAGACCAAACCTAGAGTACTGCATCCAGTTTTGGTCACCATACTATAAAAAAAGATGTTGAAAATCTAGCAAAAGTGCAGAGAAGAACAACCAGGATGATTGGGGACTGGAGACTAAAACTTATGAAGAATGGTTGCAGGAATTGGGCTTGGCTAGGCTAGTGAAGAGAAGGACCAGGGGAGACATGATAGCAGTCTTCCAATATTTGAGAGGCTGCCACAGGGAGGAAGGGGTCAAGCTATTTTCGAAAGCCACCCAAAGGCCAGCAAGGAATAATGGATGGAAACTGAACAAGGAGAGATTTCACGTGGAAATAAGGAGAAACATTCTGACAGTGAGAACAATCAACCAATGGAACAGCTTGCCTTCGGAAGTTGTGGGAACGCCATCACTTGAGACTTTCAAGAAGAGATTGGACTACCATTTGTCAGAAATGGTGTAGGGTCTCCTGCTTGGGTGGGGGGTTGGACTAGATGACCTACAAGGTCCCTTACAACTCTGATTATCTGTTATCTGAGATATCAATAACATTAACGATTACTGATGAATCTTACCGGGGGGAAACATTTTAAGAGATTTAAAAAGAGAATTGGAGAAGCAGGAAGATGCTTTGGCAACGGAGATATGGATCAGAGCAGATAGTCATAAAGTTAAGACAGTGGAAGAGAGTAGAGATGGGAGAAATATTTAGATTGAACAGCCAGGATGTAAACGTAGATGTAGATAGAGACAAAGATCCAAGAGAAGAATACGGGAGGCAAGTCAAAAAAAATGAGACTTAAAATATTGATGTGGTCAAGAGATGACGAATAGAAAAAAAAAAAAGAGAGAGAGAGAGAGAGAGAGAGAGAGAGAGAGAGAGAGAGAGAGAGAGAGAGAGAGAAGATCCTTTTTTAAGAACACATTTTAATATAAACAGGTGTATTAACATTAGAATGATATAAACTGAATGAAAGCAAAGAATATCAATAGAATTATTTTGTATGTATTGTTATAGGTGCTAGAATAATATATTGAAACATTGAACAGGTCATATTTTTGGGAAATGTGGTAGTATTCATGGATGTGCTTCTTGTCTGGATTGCCTTAAAGATCTAACAACTCATGAGACTTCTTATTGTACTTTCCATCTATATACCCGATCATCTTCCACCTCACCAAAATCCATTCCCAATTATATTTATTGCTTCTCTTTATAGTTCACTTGCCTGACTAATACAAGCAACCAGAAGGGAGGCCCTTACTGCCATAGGGAGGCACTGCCCTACACTAACTTTTGCAGGCGATCTGGGATCATGGAAACTTTCCTGTTTCCACTATGTTGCGAGCTGCAGCTCTATAAAGGATAATAGTTGTAGCTCAGAGTTGAAATGAGGGGTCCTGATGCTCTCTAAGCTTGGCTGTTTTCTTGCAGATGTTTCAGTACCGAAACTAGGTAACATAACTCTGTGTGACAGCAAGACCCACTTCCTATGATAAATTATACAAAACGCTCTTGGCCACATGACAGTCTAGAATGCAAAGAGAAAATATATGAAGGCTTGGAAGAATTAATGTCTCTGACTGCAAACATTTTCAACGACTAGTGAAAGCCTGCCCAGGGTTAAGAGGAGTAATTTTTTTTCAAGTCATATTAGCTTCTAAACTGGAGAGGGACTCACATGCCAGTTTTCTCTCTGAGAAGAGTTCCCACACTCATATCTAGTCCCAGCTGGGTAAGCTTCACCAGCCTGTCTCTCTGCTCCCGGAAAGGAATGGCATAAAGCTGTTATGATGTATAGTTGTAACTAATAAAAATCACACAGTACACCTCACATGGGACCAAGCATAAAATAACCAACTCTTTCAAGCAGCATGCAGTTAAGTTTCAGCAATGGCAATTACATCTGCTTTAATCTTATAAGCTTATTTTCAGCTTACCCAGATCCCTTTTAAGGTGATGTCTGATTTAACAGTCTGTGCAGCAGAGGTCTTAGGGCAAGGATTAGAGTTGTCTGAGTTATTAGCTGGCATTTCTTCAGTACCAAGAGCATTATAGGGATAATTCCTACTGGTCAGCTGTATCAATTCCAACCCCCCACCCCTACTCCCAATTCTTACAGCTTTTCTTCGATGCACAAACTTATTTCACAAGCAAAGCTGATAAAGAGAATAAACAGGCTACCTGCCATAGATACAAGAGTTTTCTGGTATGCTGTTCCTTTTCTAGAGAGCCAAGTTGCCATTGTAATTTAATTAGTGATACTATAAGACCTTGCCAAGCACATTAGAAAGCATCCACATGAATAAAGCTCTTTCCTAAGAAGGCCCACCTTAGAAGAATGGATGAGGGAAAGGGTTGGGGGAGATCAGTCTATGAAAGGCAAATAGAGGACATGCAGTGAAAGAAGTGAAAGCTCTTCAACGTTTGCTGTCTCAAGCACTACTGTCCAACAGCATGCAAGGGCACTCCTGTAAGAACCAACCTCTCCTCTCCTCAAGGCCCATGTGCAACAGCAGAATGTCACCATTTGGTTCCTACTGGAAGCAGCCAAGTAGCAGCAAGAACAAATGGCTGAACAGAAAAAAAATGCTGCTCTGGATTCAAGAAAAAAGCAAGACAAGAGGAAAATATATTCCTTAGGGAGGATACTATTACACATATCAAATGATACCAGTGGCCCTGGCAGAGTTGACTCCTACATGTAACAACAGATTATTACAGTGCTCATATCACTGACAAGGGAGATATTTATCTCATATTGGTTATTAGGTTAACAAACATGAGGTTATATTTAACAAGATCTATCCTCCCTACTCTATAAAGGCTGGACAGTATAACTGTCCAATGCAACTGCATATGTCCCTTTTCAGATGAAGAACCACAGAGGACTGAATGGGGGGATCTGAAACGAGTTTACATTGCACTTAAGTATGACTAGCCCTGTAGCCATAGAGATAAACTAGTAAGAGATCAGAAGAAGAAAGTAATCCAGTAGATAATCAGCATATTTATCCCTGTTGGATTTCATTATGCTGGCTGAGGGCAGAGACATCATCATATGAACTATGGTGGCACAATGGTTAAATGTAGTACTGCAAGCTATGTCTGGCGACTGCCAAAAATTTGACAGTTCGAATTTCACTGGCTCAAAGTTGACTCAGCCTTCCATCCTTCCATGGTCGGTAAAATGAGATCCCAGATTGTCGGGGACAATATGGCGATTCTGTAAATTACTTAGAGAGGGCTGTAAAGCATTATGAAGTGGTATATAAGTGCTATTGCTATTCCTTAAGTTCTCCTGCAGACTTTTAAATAAGGGTTTTATTTTAACACAAAAAGGAAAGGAAAGGAAAGGAAAGGAAAGGAAAGGAAAGGAAAGGAAAGGAAAGGAAAGGAAAGGAAAGGAAAGGAAAGGAAAGGAAAGGAAAGGAAAGGAAAGAAGAAGGAAGGAAGGAAAGCCTTTTCTTGCAAGTTTTGAGTAAGAAAGTAAGAAAACATCCAAAACAGAGCTTCTTTTCTCTCAGAGACTACACTTGCAATGTCACAAGGTGTTTGCTCACCGATATGTTGTGTGAGGGATGTAGACTTCTCGAACAGGGAATTCAAGGATCTCCTTGGTGGGTCGGACACGCAAATCAGGGTAGGGCTTGACATGCAACAGTTCAGGTGAGAGGCAATAATGGGGGTTTTCTGGCACTGGTGAAATATCAATCTTGAATTGAGCTGTGATGCAAAAACAATAGGAATGTAAGAATGATTTACTGTACATACAGAGCAACATGTCTAGACAGGCATCAAGCACAAGGACTGACCATGGACAACTAGAAGATGGGGAGACGCTGAGATCCATCTTTAATATCCCATGTGAAGCCATTCTGAAGCTGAAGAGCGAGCACTAGAAGATGTCAGAGCAAGAGCTAGACTACTGGAACTAGCAGAGATAGAACTGACCCTTCACACATAGATCTTCATGTACAATGCTAAGGTATAATATGCTTTGTTTTGTAATAGTATTTCCATGTGGTGGGACTTATCTCCAGGGGGATGAGTCTGCCTACTGAGATGAGGTGGACCGGTTGCTTTCGTGGTGTGGAGACAATAACTTGGTCCTCAACACCAATAAGACGAAGGAGTTTATAGTGGACTATAGAAGGAACAGATCAGACATCCAGCCTGTGCTTATCAATGGAGACCGAGTGGAGCAAGTGGCCAGTTTTATGGATATTACCATAAAAGAGGACCTGACCTGCGGTGCTCACATTGCAGCACTGGTCAAAAGGGCCCAGCAGAGATTATACTACCTGAGACTTCTCAGAAAACAACAACTAAATGAAAAACTGCTGGTAACCTTCTACTTCTGCCCCATAGAGGGTATCTTAATGCACCTCTGTATGGTTTGCCAATTGCACAGTGGCAGATAGGAGAGCACTCCAGAGGGTTAACATCATTGCCCAAGAGATCACTGGTTGCCCTCTCCCCTCTCTGGAAGAGCTTTATAGCTCTCGCTGCCTTAAGCAAGTTCAAAACATTCTCAAAGATCCATCTCATCCTGGGCACCTTTTTTTTAACTATTACCATCTGGCAGACGGTACAGAATAATAAAAACAAGGGCAAATAGGCTGAGAAACAGCTTCTATTCCAGGGCAGTAGCTCTGTTGAATTCTAATGTAGAGTGCAGTGTTGGTGTGGTGTCGGGGTTTTCAATTCAATGTGTGGAGTGTGAAGGATGTGTGTTTGTGTTTATTTTCATGGTCATGATGTACACTGAAAATGGTGTTTGATTTCATTGTACGAGGTGCAATGACAATAAAGTAAACTAACTTAGCATTCAGCATGGAGATCTATGTGTGAAGGGTTAATTCTATGTGTGAAGAGTCAAGGGAATTCTGAAAAACTATGGATTAGCCATTAGCCATAGTACTGGGATTTAGATTACAAAAATCATTGGCAGAGATGGGTGGATATAGAAATTGAATGAATGAATGAATGAATGAATGAATGAATATAGTGACTCTGCATGGCTGATAGCTTTGTGGGTCCAGGTTTTGTGGATGGGTGCCTGCATAGCCAAAAGAGAGTCAATTTGGTCTAGTGGCACCAGGCTAGAAAGACAAGTGAGTTTTAATCCAGCCTTAGCCATGAAAGCTGGCTAGGTGACCTTGGATCAGTCACTCTTTCTCAACCCACCCCAACCCACCGAGTTGTTGTGGGGAAAATAGGAGGAGGAAGATATGTTAGATATGTTCAACACTTTGAGTTATTTGTAAAAACGATAGAGGTGGAATACAAATAAATAAAAGCCTTTGGCTTCATCAGGCTGAGCTCTCTAGAGAATGTAGCTATTTCAGTACTTTGAGGAATGGATACTTCATTTACCACAATGCAATTTCCAAAGTACCAGTTGAAAACTGGCGGTTCAGTTCTACTTCATAACACAATTTGAAATACATTGGGATTCAGAAAAGATCATGATAGAAGAAGTAACATAAAGGGGCAGAGATTACAATACCCTATTTTACCTGTAACTGGACGGAGTCTTCTCAGGACAGAAGATGGGCGCCTCATATCTGCTAGAAACTTGTACAAGTCCTCATCACTAAGACGATCACCTTCCTGACAATGAAGAGAGGCAGAAGAAAAACAAATAAGGTGGCATTCACTAGTATAATGAGTAACGCCTCTCGTGAGTGTTCTCTATTACCTCTCACCCACAAATGTTCATACAGAGCTTCAATATTCAAAAATCAAGACAGACAAGAGGGCACAACATGCCAAGACTCTCAGCCTTCAAATCTGCTTTGTACTGAAAATAGCCTGACAATGTGTTGATTTGATTAATAAGATTAATTTGTTCAGTTGTTTTTTTAGGGTTTGTTTTTCAATTTTACAGATTTCATTTTGCTTTTATTCTTCTCCCTAGGTCATTTGGTATGATTTTCTTTCTATTTTTCCTCTTGTTTATAGAGATATAAAGATAGTCCTCGGCTTACTACAGTTCATTTAGTGACCGTGCAAAGTTACAGTGGCACTAAAAAAGTGACTTATGGCCATTTTTCACAGTTATGACCTTTGCAGCATCCCCATGATCATGTGATCAAAATTCAGATGCTAGGCAACTGGTTCATATTTATAACCATTGCTGTGTTTCGAGGTCGTGTGATCACTTTTGGCAACCGTCTGACAAGCAAAGTCAATGGGGAAAGTCAGATTCACTTAACAACCAGGTTAACAGATTAACAGAGTTGGAAGGGACCTTGTAGGTCATCTAGTCCAACCCCCCACACAAGCAGAAGACCCTACACCATTTCTGACAAATAGCAGTCCAATCTCTTCTTGAAAGTCTCAAGTGATGAAGCTCCCACAACTTCTGAAGGCAAGCTGTTTCATTGGTTGATTATTCTCACTGTGAGAAAATTTCTCCTTATTTCCAGGTTAAATCTCTCCTTGTTCAGTTTCCACCCATGATTCCTTGTCTCACCTACAGGTGCCTTGGAAAACAGGTTGACCCCCCCTCCTCTCTGTGGCAGTCCCTCAAATATTGGAAGACTGCTATCATGTCTTCCCTGGTCCTTCTCTTCACTAGACTAGTCAAGCCCAGTTCCTGTAACCGTTCTTCATATGTTTTAGTCTCCAGTCCCCTAATCATCCTGGTTGTTCTTCTCTGTACTTTTTCTAGAATCTCAACATCTTTTTTATAGTGTGGTGACCAAAACTGGATGCAGTACTCTAGATGTGGTCTTACTAAGGCTTTATACAGTGGTATTAGTACTTCCCTTGATCTTGATGGTATCCCTCTGTTAATGCAATTTATGATTGCATTGGCTTTTTTGGCTGCCACCGCACACTGCTGGATCATATTTAGCTGGTTGTCCACTAAGACTCCAAGACCCCTTTCACGATTACTGCTATTGAGCCTGGTTTCAACCAGTTTATATGTGTGCTTTTGGTTTTTCTTGCCCAAGTGTAGGACTTTTCAGTGAAGGACTTTACTACACTGACTTATCAACTGCAGTCATTCATTCAACAACTGTGGCAAGAAAGGTTGTAAAATGGGGCAAAACTCACTTAGCTTAAATGTTTCACTTAACAACAGAAATTTTGGTCTCAACTGTAGTCATAAGTCTAGGACTACCAGTAGTACATTAGAGTTTTTTTCTAAAGTATGTAGATATTTATACTATAGTAATACAATTCATATAGTTATACTGCATACTTAAAATGTAGCATTACAAATTGATGACTAAACTTTTTAAAGATATGTTAACTGTAATCTTTTTAATGTTGATTAAAACAGTATTTTAAAAAAACACTTTAAAAATGCAGCATGCCAAGGAATATGGAGACAAGGGCATCTTGAAGGCCTTGTTTCTCCCAGCCATCTTCCTTTAAGACCCTGGGGCTTACCCGTTCTATTAAGCAAGAACTCTGTGTCCATCCCACTGACATATTTTCATTTTGGGAGCTATAGAAAAGGGATTTCCCCACTCTTTCATGGCAGACTAATTACCATTTTTGCCAGAAGAGATTCTGGAAATTCATGCTTTAGCCACTTCACAGATGCATTGAGGAAACAAACAGTGCCATACAAACAGCCCCTCTGATTCTATGTCTACATTCTCACAGAAATGTTAAACCTACATGATGCTCTGGGTGAAACTAGTCCAAAAAACATTCTAACTTGTAACCTGTTTGAAAAAATTGGTGATTGTGAGGGTGGCTGGACGGAAGTTGCTAAAGCTGCACATCTCCTCCCCAACACTCAAGCGTCCATAGGCTTTCCTCTTGCGCTCATTCCAGGTACCTTTGCGCTCTGCAAAAGAAGAGTGTGTTCAATGGGAAAGGCATGCATCTGCCCTTAGAGGTCATAAGCAAGAAATAACCTAACAGTTAGATGAGATACTATTATGGTCTTCAAATTCCTTATCTCCAGCACAGAAAAAGAGTAATCTTATTTCAAAGGCAAACATAAGGGATACAGTTTGCATATAATCTGTCTGAGAGAGTAGAGGACCAATTAGCCATTTTTGAAAATTATTCTCATGCTTTTTAAAAACAAAAGCAAATCAAAAGGGCCTCCAAGAAATAGAACACAAGCCATTAATACATCTTTCTGGAAGGGAATCTCAGTATCCTAAAAATGGGCCCTGAACTATCACAGTCCATTACAAGGCTATTTTCTGATGGCTCTTGTCAGGGGGTATCTCCAAAGCTTCTAGAGGGAGTCAGTGGAATATAAAAAGCTATGCGAACACTATAGACACAATGAAGTTTGCAAACAGCATTCAACGTCTGCCACACAAGGGACCTTGAAATATGACCACTAAGATTAACTTAAATTGCTTATCTCTAATTGTGAATCTACTGAAAGAGTATCCCTTTCTTTTTAAAAAAAGTTGATTTCCTTAGAATTGGTTTCCACCCTCATGATCATAAATAAAATGCATCACTCTGTATTGCAGTATTGGGATCCTTATGTTGAATGCCTGCATGTCAGTTTTATGTTGACTGCAATTGTCTTGTGCTAGTAAACTATCAGAAAGAATGACTCAGCCAGGGGAAAGGAATGGCATTTTCTTCCTGATGCCAGGCACAAGGCATCTTCGTTTTCATTGTGGAAGAATAATATACTTTCTAATGTGTCAAGCCCATGCACCATAGCTGGCAAGACCAAAGGGAAAAAAAAAACAGCATGTATTTCAGCAAGTTATCTTTAATGCTAGATAAATAGAAACTCTTGGAAACTAAGAAAAATTTCAGAGCCTCATTTAGAATCACATTTTTAAGTTGAGAATTTAAAGTGAGTTAATTAAAGTGAAGTCTCATTTAAATGTTTCCCCACATGAACTGAATTGTCATTTATGAGGTAATCTATCAACAGATCTACCCTGCTTGATTTACTTTATTTTGTATGGCCTCCCATCTGACTTAAGTGATTCTGGGAAGCTTACAATAGTTAAAAACAACTATCTCAAAATAAAAAATAGAAACATATAAAATACCAGAAGCCACTTAGAAAATAAAAATAAGCATGGCCAGTGGTCAAAGTCCATTCTTGAATCAAGCTCAACAGTGTAAAGGTTCCCCACCATTATCAGACAGAAAAGGTATCCCTGAAATAGCCTGATTCCATGCCATGTATGGCTTTATAGGTCATTATTAGCACTTTGAAATGCACCTGGGAGCATACCGGTAATCAGTGCAGCTCATGGAGCAGAGATGCAATGTGCACTGACTGAGGAGCACAAATAATTGCCAGTGCTACTCCATTTTGCATGAGCTGCAGCTTCCAAATGCTTTTCAAAGACAGCTTTCCTCATCTCCCCACATTATGCATTCTATTTTTCACTCAAACCACCTATGGCACAGTGCCCATTCTCACAGAGAAAGTTTTGAATTTGATCCAGAAAGTATTCGTTCCTATCCTATCTTGGGGCCAAGACCTAAATACCAAAACAAGTAGAACTGAATTCAAGGAGAAATTATTATGCAAATGCAGATAATTCTTCTCCACTGAGTTCAGCCTTAAACGACTAACCATTTTCAGAGTCTGAAGCATCCCTCTCAAGCATCCCAGTAGTGCTAATTATATTCATGAGGTGGATGGCAGTCCAGGCAAATGGCATACGGTAGCGCCCCAACCGGGTGCAAAATTGTTCTCCTGTCACTCGCAGCTTCTCCAACTTCTCCTTGTTCTGAAAGCACAAGCAGAAAACACCATCGCTGTGTTTCAATTCTAATTGTTTGATCCTAATTTTAACCAAATTTGTGCTGTGTAGATGTGTTGGGCTGCAAAAGGCAAAATGGCAGAAAATTATGTGAGCTGAAGGCACTGTGTTAGGAAAAGCTGCCCAAATTATCATTCTGAATGACAAACTATTATTATTCCAGTGAAAATGACTGGAGTTAGGGGGAATGATTCAGATGAAATTAAGCTAAATTAACAGGTCTGTCCTACATAATGCAATCATCTATTTTCAAAATATCCTCCCCCCCAGCCCCCCCAAAAATCTGGCAGAGCAAGCTACTATATATAATCAGGCAGTAAACCTCACACTCAAACTAATAATGTTACCAACTCTGGAATGAAATGTCTGCAACAAACCACCAAGTTCAGAGAACCAAGAATTCCACAGTTCAACCTTGAACTACCTATGTTATCTTCTATTGGAATTACACACACAGCTGTCAGTTTCATCTGGATTTCATCTACCTTCAAAGCATCTGTTTCCTTCATGACCATATAAGGTTCACAGCATTCACTGATGTCCCCTTGCTGTAGCACTTTCTCTAGCTATAACGGAAGAGAAAACATGTTACACAATGTGTCACAAACCTAGTAGACATCCTGAAGAAATAATCTAACAGATATCCTGAAGTTTCAAAGAATAAAATCAAGATATTTTGAGCACCATCTCAAGTGTTATTCATTTACAAGACAAGAAAACCAACTTTTAATGACTTTGAAAACCAGAACTGAGACAACTAGTCCTACATTCAGAAATGGCTTTTTTCAATACTAGGGGAATAAAATTGGAATGACAAGTGTGATTTATTAACAAAGTTCTTTTTTGCTAGCAATTCAAAAGAATGAAAAAATAACATAGGCATTAACTCTGTTGTAAAATTCTGGCTTTGTGCTGGAATGTTCAGAAGACAGGATATTACATGCAATAACTCTGTGGACTATACCTTTTCCAAGGAAACTCCATCCCAAATCTCTTAATGTGATCAAGCTTGAGGCAGATATGCAAAGACATGTTTTAAGAAAAAAGTGCAAGTTGTGATTTGTCACTCAATTATGGGATCCTTTTTGAATGAATGAATGAAAAACTGAGCCCATGAATCAAAGCTTGTCACTATTATTAATAATGCAGTCATCATCATTTCTGAACAGAAAGACTCCCCATAGTTATCACCAATTTTCCAGCTGTTGTTTGATGTTAGATAGATCAAAGCTAGGTAGAGAACCTATGAACTCTATGACTATTATAAAGAGGGAATCAATTCTTCATTAGTGCTTAGTAACAGAATCATAGAGGTGACACAATTTTCACAGAATAAAAAATATTCCCACCAATATCACTAATTGAAACCTAGTACAGTTAATTCTCAACTCACAACAATTCTTTTAGCGATTGTTTGAAATTAAACAGCAGTGAAAAAAGTAACATATAACTGATAGTAGTGTTTACAACCATTACAGCATTTCCATGATCACTTGATAAAAATTTGGGTGCTTGGCAACCAGCATATATTTACAATGACTGCAGAATCCTGAGATCACTTGGATCACCATTTGTGAACTTCACACCTGACTTCTAAGAAGCAAAGAATAGGGGAAGACATAACAACTGTATGATTCACTTAACTGCAGCGATTTTGCTTAAGAACATTGGCATAAAAGGTTGTAAAATGGAGTACAACTCACTTAACTGCCTTACTTAGTAATGGAAATTTTGGTCCCAATTATGGTCTTAAGTCAAGGACTAGTCACTAGCTGTTACATTCCACTTGAATGCACATCTTGCCTCATAATGCAGTTTATCATACACTGAACACTTTCTCCCACTCTGAAGATTGATAGAGAATCAAAGCGATTATCCCTTGAAAGGAGCAGAGACTATGTCAGTTTGAGAGATAGTGAGAGATAAAACTTCTAAGCTGTAGAAAGCTATACATTCACTCTGTCTGAAATGCCTAAACAGCCTAATATGGTATGTACAGTATGAAGTCAGTTGGAACAAAATATGTGTGACTAGAACAAGGGATACTTTCTTTACTTAGAATGTACTTAATTCTTTTTTCATTGACAGGGAATCTAGAGAGGATCCTTAACTAGACTTTGGCTTCAGAACATGCCATGTTTTGTTAGTATTTAATTGTATTGTAATTTGAGTATTTCATGAAATAACTGCATGTAATTACTTTAAAAACTGGAAGCAGAAAACATTGAGTAGACAAGTGAAAAACCCAAGGAACAATTGGGGGTTAGGGTTAGGGTTAGAAACTTGGGGGAAACATTCTCTTTTTTTAAATAAAAAAAAAAAGCCTAGAAATAAGTGCTCCCACTGTGAGTTATATCCAATTCCTATTTTCCCAGCTGAAGAAGAAAGGTATAATAAATTTAACTGAATAAGGATTAAACAGGATTTGTGAATTTATCCCTTGTTTTTGAAAAACATACAAGGATCAGAAGTAACATCTCAATGCCAGATGTTTTTGAAAACTGAAAAGTCAAAATCAGACTTATTTAAGAAAATGCACCTCTTTTCTTTACATTTTAAAGACAGAGAGCATGGCATATCAGAGGAGGTGGGTCCATCTTTTACCTTCTACTTAACAAGAAAAGTTTTTTTGTCTGCTGTTGGTCTTAGGTGTTTCCTAGGAAAGGACATTGTATGGCTAGCTAATCTATTTGACATTCTGTTTTTTGAGCAGATAAAAAGAGACTCTCCTCCCCATACAAATAACTGGAGGAAACTAAAGCTGCATCCTCTTGACTTTCAACTTTATTGAGATCCATTAATTTCAGAGAATCAAACTTTGCATCAGGAATTCCAAAATACATGCTTTCTTCACAGACACATGAACATTTTGCATTCATGTGAAATAATGGTATATATAGTCATATTTGCTCCACGGCATTCATTAGAATGGCTGTGAGTGTGACTATTAAAAAGGTAACAAACATCTCACCTTGATCACCAAGAATATTTCTGGAGAAGGATGTGTAAGAGAGAACACAGCTGAACGAGCTAGTGTAGAGATGGCAGGATGAGCACTGTGAGTTCGGAGAAGGCTTTTCATATGTTCCGAATTGAGATCAAAATAAAAATTTTCAGAGATCTACAAAACAGAGAGAAGGACAGCAGTCAAAAAATACTATCAAATCTCTTCATGACTTCACAGCAATCAAAACAATACAAAAGGCAACATCTCAGTATCCAGAAAAGAGAAACTTTTAACTGTAGCTCTGGTGAATATAATATTGAAATCTAGCTTATTCTTGGTAGATACTTGGGTTTAGTCTTCATATAACAACATGGGAACACAAACAATTCCCTTTGTTTTCTGTAAGATCTGCTTAATAGCCAGAGGATGTTTTAGCATAGGAGGAAATAATGGGTTTGGCCTTGTAGCTACTTTTGTTTCCTGTGCCCTACCTAGAGCAACAGGAATCATAACCAGTGGCATTCAACCAGATGAAATCTTTGCATTTGTTTTTCTTATTTTTAGCCATTGCAGGGACTTAGGGTGCCCGTTTTCTCACTCAACCTTTTCAAGCCATGAACAACGACTGATTTGATGAGGATGTTAAGGATACCCAAGACTTAAGGCACACATTTTGCCCTTTAATTCTCCTCAACATGGGAAAACCAGAAGTGAAAATTCTAGCACAATTACATTGGTGATATCACATATTGTAGAACTATGGGGTTTTGGAGGCTATGTGTGATTAATAGGTCAGGGACCTATACATTATTTACTGATTTCAGAAAAATTATTACAACAAGAAATAATACATCACACAGAATAAAAAAATCAAAACAATTTTAATGGGAAACCTAGTAGGGACTGGAGAGCAATTGGAGAAAGACAGAAACATCTAGGACATGCAGCCCACTAAGTTTTTTATTCTGTTTAAAGTCACCAGGAACTTGAAAGGGGATCAAATAAGATACAATCTACAAGGAAGTAAAGTTCACTGTTGCTATTTCCAATGCATCATCTGCTTAGCTCAGATGATCCATCCTTCATTCTTTGAAATTTGTAATTGAAAAAAGAATCATTAGGAACTTGCTGCTTCAACTAAAGACACAAACTCTCTCTTTCAAAAATCTGAATGTTTCTGCTTATCCATTAGAAGAGAGGAAATGTAAATAGCTACAAATTTAGGGGAAGAAATGAACCTAAATCATGTTGCCTTAAGAAAGTGCAAATTAGATATCCATCCTGCGTGCTTCAGAGCAATCCAGTTAATGTTCTCCATGTCTTTGATAGAGGTATCAGAAGGAACATAATATAAAATCTGCAACTGACATTCTGTTGTGCTTAACTGGCAGAACACAGAGACCAGCACTTCTTGTCATTATCCAAGATAAATCAGAAACAAGAAGTACCTTTTTCTTTTCTTTCACATCGTAGAGTGCCAGTGATCCAAAGATGGGTTCAACTTCTATTTCAAACCTAGTTCATGGAAAGGAATATGAAAGGAAATACATTGCAAAAAGTTGACTACCTTGTCCTGCTCTAGCAAATACAACGGTTAAGAATCTGGAGCTCTATATCAAAAGGAATCATGAATAATCAACACCACTGCCATTCCTCCATCCATGATAAGCAAAATATGACCTGTTTCTTCTAATACCTAATCTAAATGAAACAAGATGCTCCCCTGCCATTGGATAAATGAACTTTTCTGATATTAAATACTGGTACCCCTTAGAAATCCCAAGATAAATCTCCCTACAAAGCATTTTCACACTATTTTGCTTCATCATTATGGTGGACTTCGAGGCATCAAAGAAAGATGGACCCCTTCCCATTTCTCCTCTCTGTAACGACATAGCTGAGGACCTCAGAGTATGAATCAGAACTAGCAGGAATTTTACATAAAGCTTTCTTCTGCCATCTCCTTATCAATTAATTGAACACAGATTTCAATGCAATTTACTGTTAAACAAGTAGATGGTTTTAAGCAAAATTGGATTTTTACCAAAAAGAGAGGCTTTTGCAGTCATCCAACAATGGAAATCTGTAAATAATCAAGTTGTGGGAAATCTTACACAACATTCAGAAATTAACTTCTGAAGTTGTGTAGGATTTCCAACAACTGTTCAAACTTGAGAAGTGTAGTAATGGAGGAAGGTAACATCTTGCATTTCCTCATTAGAGAGGGAAATGTCTTCTGACTGTCATACCAGGAAATCTCCTTCTGTCTCCATCCTATATGTGGGCAATACAAACTGCATTTCTGGGCATCAGTTTGGCAGGCTGAGCTGCCAGGAGCATGCAGCTTTTATTTATTTATTTATTTGATTTGCCAATTGTTTACAAGATAATAAGTATAAGTGTATACATAGTTGTGAATACATGAAATGGGTACATATAAGAAAAATAAAAGAATAAGAGAAACAATAGGACAGGGACGGTAGGCACGATGGTGCGCTTATGCACGCCCCCTACAGACCTCTTAGGAAAGGGGTGAGGTCAATAGTAGACAGTCTAAGGTTAAAGTTTTTGGGGTTTGGGGAGCTTCCACTGCTCAGGAATATGAATCCAAAACCAAAGTAACTTCTTCTCAGGTAACTCTGCCATCTACCTGTTTGCACTGTATCACAGAAGTCTGCTGTGTTCACAGAACTGAGTGATAATGTAGCTCCTTCACACTATGGCAGCAAATGCACATGCATGTGCATCCTCCTGCAAAATCAGTACATGTGAAGCTGTACCTTGCATGGCATCTTTTGCCCCCCCCCCCCCTTTTTGCACAGTACCATTGAGCAAAAACAACAGTTAAAAAAAACCCATTTTATTCTACATTCAATCATTTTTTTCTACTGGACATTTGGCAGCTCTACGTGGCCAAGAAATTGTGACTTACTTCAGAGACAAGCATTTCACTAAGATCCTCTGCCCAAACTGCTCTTTTGGAATATCTGGGATGCTGCACCGTTCTACTGCCTCTTCCTGGGAAGTCAAAGTAAGATATGTCATTGACCCAATTGTGAGCCAGAGGCTAAGAGAGATGGAGATTTTGAAAGCTCATAAAATATTATGTTGTTATTCTGCCTTTGCATTTATTTGTGCAACATTCCAAAAATTATCCTTTATTTGCTTAGGCCAATTTACTTCCCTTGAAAGAGTTCAATCCATGTTTATCAGATTTATTTTTCAAGTATCTCGCTGCTTTCCAAATGTGGTGCTTCATTGTGGCCTACTTAATATCAAAACTGCTGCTTGGAGTTATATCTTCTTCTACTGGCTTGTGCTCCCCCTCACTCTATTTGGCTTGACCCTTTAACTATGACTGATAGCTTTCAGTTTTCCTGATGCCAGGCACTACATATTAAATTGCCATCTTTATAGCTTTACTTGAGCAACTCTCGTACTGGTGCACTATGAACATGCACTAGCTCAGTGGTTCCCAAAGTGGGCGGTACCACCCCCTGGGGGGGATGACTTAGGGGGCACTAAGAGGCAAGGGGGGCAGCAAGGGGGTGCTAAGAGGCAAGGGGGTGGCAGAGGAGTGCTGGAGGTGGGCCCCTCGGAGGGTGCAATTCAGCTTCCTCCACACCCCACTTGGTGGTGGCCAAGAGGAAGGCGAACCAGGGCTGACCCGTTGCCACTTGGGTCCCACCTGGATTCTCCACAGCTGCTGGGCCTTGCCTGCTAGGGCGGGCCTGCTAGTTGACCAGGGAGCACGATGCTATACCTCCCGCATCGCCCCTTGCCTACTTCCCTTCCCTCTGCCACCCGCCAGCCTGCGCGCTTTGGCTGAATGCGGACCACCGTTGTGAGAATGATGCGAGTCAAGCCTTGCGAGAGCGGATCTTCCACGCATTGAGCTTGCATAGCGGCGGCCTGCACTTGACTAAAACGCTCAGAGGGGCGGCTGGCAGAGGGGCGATGCAGGTGGTGTAAGCCTTGTGCTTCCTGGTTGCCTCCTGCACTCCCCCTCAGCAGCTGCGACCCGCGAGCCCCAGCAGCTGACGTGATGTGGGCTGGCAGGAAGCCAAATAGCAGCAGGTCTGCCCTGACTGGTGAGCTAGTCAGGGTAGGCTGGTTCACCTTTCCTGCAGCTCACTTCTCCCGCAATTCCTGTGGCAAGGCTGCAGCCTCACTTGAAGTTCCCAGTCCTTTCCCCAAGAGACGGAGGGGTGGAAGTCCCACCCGCGGCTCCTTTGTTGACCTGGAAGCCTTGCCTGCCAGCTTTTCCAGGCAATGCGGCACCGGGCGTGAACGAACAATCGCGCCCAGTCCCTGGGACTCTGGGAGACTTCATCACGAGCAATGCTGCCTTGTTGGATGAGAGTGTGTGTGTGTGTGTTTCAGGAGGGTCTCCTAGCTTAGAAGGAGAGAGCGAAGGAAGAAGGGAAGAGAGAGAGAGAGAGAGAGAAAGAGAGAGAGAGAGAGAGGAAGAGACAAGAAAATAAGGGAAGAAAAGGGAAAGAAAGAAAAAGGGATAGAGAAAGTAAGAGAAAGGAAGAAAAGGGATAGACAAAGAAAGAGGGGGGATGGAAGGAAGGGACAGAAAGAAAGAGAAAGAGAGGGAGGGAGGAGAAAGTGAATGGGATATATGGAGGGAGGGAGAGAGAGAAAGAGAGACGGAAAGAGAGAGAAAGAAGAGACAAGAAAGAAAAGAAAAAGGGAAAGAAAGAAAAAGGGAGAGAGAAAGGAAGAGAAAGGAAGAAAAAGGATAGACAAAGAAAGGGGTGGTGGAAGGAAGGGACAGAAAGAAAGAGAAAGGAAGGAAGGAAGGAAGGAAGGAAGGAAGGAAGGAAGGAAGGAAGGAAAGAAAGAAAGAAAGAAAGAAAGAAAGAAAGAAAGAAAGAAAGAAAGAAAGAAAGAAAGAAAGAAAGAAAGAAAGAAAGAAAGAAAGAAAGAGGAGGAAGAGGAGGGAGGGAGGGAGGGAAGAGAAAGTGAATGAGATATCTAGTCCAACCACCTGCTCCAGCAGGGTTAGAAGGGTGTGTGTATGTGTGTGTGTGTATGCGCGCACATGTGTGTGTGTCTGCATGGCTGTCAAAACTCCAAAAACCGGTCAGGTAGCTCTGGGGAGGTCAGTCTTAAATTAGAACACTTGCTAAGCAACTGGCCATTAAGCAAGGACCACTTGTATTTGGTTTGCCACTCACATGGCCATGCCCACCCAGTCACATGACCACCAAACCAAACCTACCCAGTCACATGACTCCCCAAGCCACACCCACAAATTAGGCCATGCCCACAGAACCGGTTGTTAAGAAATTTGAATCCCACCCCTGGATGGGGGGCACTGAGGATGAGTTTGTAGCACCAAGGGGGCGATGGACTGAAAAAGTTGGGGAACCACTGCACTAGCTGATTTCAAACAATGGGCCATCAATATAGAACTGCAACCAAATTCATCATTTCTACCTAGAAGCCTATTCTTGAGGCATTCTGCCGATTTTCTCCCACCAGCCAGATACCTAAACTACCTAACAGTTCTGAAATTTAGAAGGGATTTATTCTTGGCTAGATTTAATGCCCTCCCAAGAGTTATTACTGAAGAGATACCAAATATTCCTTTTGAGCAGAGATTGTCCATGTGATGGAGAAATAATTGACATGATGGATCATGTTATTTCTTATTATCCCCTCATCGGGAATTATTGTCTTCATTTTTCACTAAGTATCCTGGTTATTCTGAAATCTTAAATTGCTACTATCTGATCAATCAGATCTCACTTGATTGACCAAGGTAAGTACTGCTTTATAGTTCTTACAATATGCTGTAATATTCCTCTTTTTAAAAAATATTTTAAAATGTTATATATTTATCTTTTTATCTTAATTAGTGAGTGTTTTATCTTCTGGTTATGACTAAATAAAGATTTGTTGGTTGTTACTTCGAGGAGTTATAATAACAAACAAGCAACTAAAAATAAGCAAGCATGACCTTGGGATGCAAAAGTTGACCAGTCCAAGGTTTCATAAAGAGAAAATGTACGCTCATGCAAAGCCAGTTACCCCCACTAATGCTGCCCACCAAGACTTAGTGAAGATTGCTTCCCTTTGTTGTCAGAATCAATGGAGATCGAATCCCTCAAAACTCAGCAAAGATCCCAGCATGGAAAAATAATCTTCATAACCTACTGCCTATTTCTTTTGTGCAAACACATGCATTTGTAGGTTCATGTGGCTCCCATCTGCTGTATCCTACCAGGTTTCATAGAAAGCCAAAGGGAATCTCAGTATTTCCACTCACTTCATCAGGGGCTGAGTAAAGGGCCAAGATCTCCTGATGCCGGTTCTTCTTGCGTAGCTTCTCATTACAACAGTCAGTCTCTTCAATGGCAGTGCGCACCAGGAGTGAACGGAGTAAAAAGTCAGCTGCAGAATTCTTCAGGTCAAAGATACTGGATGTCCAACTGCCTCGGGGCATATCTTCCAAGGAACCAGAGCAACGCTTTATGTCATCCTGAAAGATAGATGGAGCAGCATTTGTTGTTAAGACAAGGGGGAATGTCTAACTACAGCCCTATAGAGAACAAAGAGTAGTAGTGCTGCTGCTGATAGCAAATTCAAAGATTGCAAATGAGCACCAATCCTGAGAGCTGGATGCTGCTCAGAATATATATCAAGTATTGCCTTTTTGCACGCAGACATCTTAGCCAAGCTAGCATTGCTTATAGCTGACTTAGTTTTCTCTTCCAATGTTAGAGCAGAATACCGGCATATATGAAGTGAGGCAAGAGTTCATACTACAGTACTGAAGATAAGTAGAAGACAGAGTCTCTTCTGTACTTTCCACCTTTAATGCAATCTAGTACTTTCCCCTCTAATTTTGCATCTTAGATTTTGCAAATATCAGATACTACCCTTGTGAGTTAAAAAAAATATGGCTTTTGAGAAGCTTTTTTTAATGTAACATTCCATGCCAGAAGTAAACAAGACAAAAATTAAGTCAGCATAGCTGTATGTATTATCTAGATTCTATTGTATCTTGAAAGTTAAATTATGAATTAAGAGGAGGGTTTTGTCCCTTCAAAAGCAACTGCATGTTTTCAAGACACATTATGAAGTGTAATGTGATAATTAAAGTGATAATGACAAATTGTGGGGAAGCACTTGTACAAAGATAGTTAAAGGTCACTTGACATGGTCAACTCGCCATGGGACAACTTGCCACAGCCACTTCTCTGAGGGACAATTCACCATGGGAGAAGAGTTGCACTAATATCAAAGAAATGGTGCTACAGAATCATTAAAGAAAGGATGCAAAAGGAGGGACAAAATGAAATGTGAATGATAAAAATTAAAATATTTAAAAAATTATTTTAAATAATTAAATTCAATTGTTGGATTGTCTGGCGGTAAGTTGTCCCATGACGAGTTGGCCATGGTAAGTTGTCCCATCCCATCCCTTGGCTTTTCTTTCAACTGTTGCCTCTGGTTATTGAACTCCTTCTGTGCCATATCTTGCCTGTCAATGGCTAAATTAAAATTCCATATTTTAAATTTGAATGTACATTAAATACATTAAGCTTACATTGTAAGAAGCATATTTATGAAGATTTCCATAAACCAGACTAGTATTGAGGTGTTTTTCAACTTAAAAGTCCAGCTAACTCGCAGAAGATTCAAAGTATAATGAATTCAATTCAAATGTGAACTTAGTTTTGGTCACACTCCATACATTTTCTGCTTTTACACCTTTGTTTTACTTTTAGAAAAAATGTGATCTGATAATCAAAGGGTGTGTGTTGAGAATTTGGCTTTCTTCAAAAGAACTGGGGAGAAATAGATTTGAATATTTTGATATCTGCTTTCAACCGGTATGGGTTAATTTCCCAACTTGCTTTTTGAACTGCCTGAAGGTTAAGAAAGCTGGCAAAGCCATTCAGGGAAATGATATACAAGTAGTGCTTGATTTACAACCATTTGTTCAGTGACCATTCAAAGTTGCAATAACACAGAAAAAATGACTTATGACCATTTTTCACACTTACGATCACTACAGCGTTCCCCATAGTCACATGATCAAAATTCAGACACTTGGCAACTGACATGTATTTATGACAGTTGCAGTGTCCCAATGTCATGTGATCACTTTTTGCAACCTTCTGACAAGCAAAGTCAATGGAAAAGTCACTTAGCAACTGTGTTACTAATTTAACAACTGCAGAGATTCACTTAACAAATATGGCAAGAAAGGTTGTAGAATTTGAGTGAAACTCACTTAACTCTTGCTTAGCAATAGAAATTTATAGACTGTGTGCTTCTCAATATGACCTCACATTCCAGACATTGTTTTAGATAAGGTTTGGGGTTTATGAGATTGCTGCATATGCTTTTGGCATAACATGACACCGTCCTCTCATTCACATTACATAAAGAAAACGGAAGGTTGCCAAACATGTTGCTTTATATAAATTATTACATTCTCACTTGACTTACCGTATCCCCTTGATTGCTCCTCTCTTCAGCTACTTCATCTAATTCAAAGACTTGCCTAGATAATCCTTTCTGTCTTTCTCTTTGCCTCTCAGCAGTAATGGCATTATACATGGTACTCAGTTTCTGGTACCTAAACAAAGGCAGAAAAAACAATGATGTTACTCCTGTTGGAAAACTATTGATAGCATGAATGCAGAAAAGATTTGAAGACAATCTCATTAAATGCCTAGATTAATTCATCTTTCTATGAATATCTGAGTGAACCATACAATTTCTTAAAAGTTCTGCTTTCTCTAAAATGAAATTATTTCTCTAACACGAAACACTGGCACTACATCACTCTCAGAATAAAACTGGGTTTTTTCATATTTTTCATAGATATTATTTATTATTATTATCTCTTTTATTCATTAAAAATGAAACTCAATCAACTGAACATTTTAAAATGTATCACAAATATCATTGACTGGCTCTGATGGTTGGTATGGGTTGCTGCCAGCGTCCTAGGTATCAACCAAGTATTTTCTTAAGACGTACAGTGTTCGGAGTAGCGCAGTTTTTTGCAGTTCCACTGTTGTTATTGAGGAAGCTGCAATTTCTTGATGTATTTTATAAAATTCTTGGACATGGTACCAAGTGCCCCAATGACACTGTTACATGTTTCATCCATAATCGCATAGTTTCAATGGCCGTTGCAATATTTCGTGATTTTTTCCAGTTCTTTTTTTTCGACTCTGGTGTCTCCTGGTACTGCAATATCAATAAATTGTACATTTTGGTTTTTGACAACTATAATATCTGGCATGTTGTGTCCCAAATGACGATCCATCTGTATTCAAAAGTCCCACAAGTTCTTTACCTTCTCATTTTAGATAACTTTTTCCACTTTATGTTCCCATGACTTTTTGGATACAGATAAGTCGTATTTTTTACATAATGACCAGTGGATTATTCAGCAACTCGGTCGTGTCTTTGTGCAATTTTGCTGCATTCAATATCAAATGTGAAACAGTTTCAACTTTGTCATTGCAAAGTCGGCAGTTTGGATTGTCAGTGGATTATTATTACCATCATCATCATTGTCAGCCAGATGTTCAGACTGGGTTTGACATTTTTGTCTGATGATGATGATGATGATTAGCCATCTTATTCCAAAAGACTCTGGATAAATTTCGTTCAAAAGCATGACTACATTTTCTTGGGGAATATATATATATAGTGAGCATTGAATAGAATAGAATAGAATAGAATAGAATAGAATAGAATAGAATAGAATAGAATAGAATAGAATACTTTATTGGCCAAGTTTTGGTGGAACCAAAACAAACTTCTCTCTCTTTCTACCACTCCTTCATTATCATCTTTCTTAAATTACACTCAAGATATCATCTGGCTTTCTACGTCAAAGTCTGCCTTCTATGCCATCATAAGTTTCTGGAAATCAGGAACTGCCAAGAACTGCTATCCCGATCATGATACTGCCACTCATGTGGGGAGGAAACCCCGGATTCTTTTACTCATTTATTGCTCTCATCCTGTTTCCTATGTATCCTGTCATTTCCCTAGTTTATATCTTTTACCCTGTCACCTATTCTGCCCTGTGCTTTGATTTACCTTGGGGAATGTGCAAGGGGGAGGGCCATCTGTTTTCTCTCAGTTCGGAACAGAAGAAGCACATGGGAATTTATGGGAACCCTTATCTCTTTCTCAGGACGGCTGTTTCCACAACATCTTCGCACCTGTGAATTGGCTCATTCAACAAGAGACTGAGGGGAGGGGTTTCTAACCACTTTATCCTAACGGAATTGCCTGGGGGGAACTCAGACCCTGCTTTGCTTTTGTCTTGCAATCACTCCATTTCAATAAAAGGTTCCTTTTGAAATGCCATTGTCTCAAAAGTCCATACTTTCTTGATTGGGGAGTAGAGGCAGGGCCTTATACAGAGATTAGGCAGTGAGACAAGCATGTAAATTTGAGCTGAATGGAGAAAGATAATGTATTTTTAATTTTTTTTAAAAAGGGAGAGTGCGAACCTGGCATGGTTCTCAACATTCTACATTGATCAGTTACAGAATTCAGAGAGTTTCAACTGCTACCCTACATTTCTGTAGAAACTGCTCTGAGATTTATAAACAGATACTTTAAAGAATGTATATTTGAAGTATTTTCTGCCAGCCAAAGGTAGGAAATTTAATAAAGAGATATGGAAGCATATCTTTTGCAATCATATGCCTGATATATCTGGACAAACAGTACTGTGGTAGCCTTTTCAAGACTATGAACTGTAAACACACTACAAACATATCAAAAATGCCTGGCCCATTTCCCCAGATGTCTCTTCAGAAATATCTATTGATTTCCTATTCAATATTTCTCAAACTATAAGCAGTCCTCAGTTATTTACATTTAGGAGGAAGGAAATGCGAATAGAATAACCTACATTTCTTATACTAAGCACTATCAAGAGCCAGTGGGCCAAAACAACCACATGTAGCCCCAACAACTTGCCACCTTTGCTTGTACATGGCCCTGTGAAAGACAACAGATTTGTCAACCGTGTTACTGATGGGGAACAGTTTTAAACCATGAAATTGTGATGCTGACAACAAAGTTAAACGGGTCACAGAGACAGAATGCCTAGGCACATGTTCAAAAATATATAGTTTGTTCAAGGCATAAAATATCTTACCTGTATAATCAAATGGAAAGTAACAAATTCTTACATTCTTTGATTACCATATTACCCACAATATCCAAAATAAATATTTTTCTCCCATGAATAGACATTATCCTGTTATACTGGCTCAACTGTTTGTTTGTTGCAAAACTATAGTGAAAAAGTAATTGCGAAAAATATTTCCCCAGGTTTTTAGGTCAAGTTGAATGAAATCTTCTTTTGGGTGTCTAATTATTCTGTTTGATCACCATTTTATATTTTATATTATTCTTTTAATACTATATGATTATTTTTCTGTTTGCTTCTGTTGCATGCTTCCCAGATTCACACTAAGTTGAGCAGCCCTATAAATCCAAGGGACTTCAGTTTATTCAGTACATTCTGAAAGTAGAACAATGGATGACAACAATGGCGGAATTCCATTATATACAATCTTTTACGTGAATACTATCTTATTCAAAACATGCTGAAATCAACAAGACTTACTGGACTCAGCAATTTAATAAGGCAAAACATGGGCTGCAGGAAAAGGAAATGTACCGATTTCACATAGAAGCTAAGCGTACTCTTCTTCCATACAGTGACCTCCATGTCAAAGATTCACAAAAATCAAGGTTAGCTGACAATCATGACATATTTCACAGAATCATTACTGAATCATTGTTAAAACTATAAATATGGCTTTGAATATAGTGACTCCTATGTATCAAATAGTCAATCAACTAAAAAGTTAATACAAATACATGTATTCCCAACTCAGATCTAAAAGAGTAAACTGCCTCATGTGTTTAAAACTTACATTATCACCATTACATACAAGAAAATCACTTTTTAATGTTTCTTAAAAAGACTGCAACAATGGAGACACTGTAAATGATAAAAAATGTTACTAAACTTACTTCTTCTTGACGATGACCCAATCTTCTGTGTAGACTTGGACAGCATCTCTTACCCGGGCATCTTGTTTCCTAAAGAAGAAATATGTCTAAAAATACTTCGTAAAAACAACAAGCAGGTTTAATGTCAGACTGCATCTTCGTTTCAAGCTTGCTGCCAGCTGCCATGGAAATGTTGGGTAGGGGACCACTGTGTATTTGGGAAGGAGAACGCAGGAGACGGAAATGAAATTTCTGAGAAGCAATGAGGAGGTCTGGTCTCAGGGAGGCCAGCTTGGACTGCTTAACATTTTCAAGCCCAACCATCTTGGCTTCAGGATGCACAAAGGAGGAACTGTGTACCTGGCCAGAAACTTTCCCAAAATAAAGGACTCTCTAAAGGCAGCCCTTTAGAGAGTCCTTTATTTCCCTCAAGAAATGTTCAACAAACAGCCCTCCAATTACCAGTAAGACTCCACTCCACAATACCCTGAAGGCAGCCACCCTCAGTCCCCCAAACAACAGCCCATATATTACCAGGAAAATCCACAAGGCAAAGTCCAGGCATAACACAAATGCAGGGGTGGGATTCTATCAGCTCGCACCTATTTGCTAGAACCGGTTGTTAACATTCTAAGCAGTTTAGAGAACCAGTTGTTAGAAGAAATTACTGGCCTAATCCTGTAAGGAAGGCAGGAAGGAAACATTCTGGTGTTGCTTACAGAAACTGCCTCTCCGTTAACCCTTATTACGTTCTTGGCAGGATTAGACTTCCTGTCTCAGGAACTTCTCTGGAGTTTTTTCCCCCTCCTTTGCTGGTACTTTGCTTGTGTGGAGTGACCATTCAAAGTTACAGTGGCACTGAAAAAAGTGACTTATGACCATTTTTCACACTTACGACTGTTGCAGCATCCCCACAGTCATGAGAGGCCAGGCGAGGAGATGCATGCCTCGATGTGAGTGATATTGAGTTGGCCATGCCCAGTCAATAACATGACCACCAAGCCATGTCCACCCAGTCACATGACCACCAAGCCACGCCCACCAACTAAGCCACATCCACAGAAACGGCTGCTAAAAAATTTGAATCGCACCCCTGCACAAATGGCACTCCTCAAGGAAAAGACAAGGTACAAGCAAAGGCACTTCTGAAGGTAAAATAAAGCAAATGACAAAAGCAGTCCACAAGGCAAATGGCAGTCCTCGAAGCAAGGAAAAAGGCACGAGTCAAAGTTGAGGGAGTGTAATCCAAAACAAAAAATTGTTCCTTGCAAAGACTGACTCCCCATGGCTTCTCTTTAAATCAGTCCACTCCAGGTGTTCCTTGTGAGTGGACTGTGAGTGGGAGAGTCCTTAGATCCAGTAGGAGAGGTAGCTGTTCCTCATCAGAGGTGATCTGTTGCTGTCAGCACCACTGCCTATCAGCAGCTGATCCTCCCTTGTGTTTGTGAAGGCAGGCAGCTCTCTGTCCAGTTGACCACCTCTCCCAGAGACCTGGGACAGCATTGTTGGGACACCTGGCCTCTCCACACATGCCAAGAGAGATGTGCCATCTCCGTCGGACGCTCCCGGTTCCAACTCCTCCTCCAAACTGGGCTCCAAGGGGGCATGATAATTAGTAGAACAGATTTAGACAGGTGAGATAGCAGAAAGCTCATGCTGAATTTAACTAGATACAGGTGAGCACTAATTTCTAAACATTATTGCCATTTCTACATGGCATTTTAAAAAGAGTTATTTTCAATTTTAAATGCATCTCCTCAACATCACTGAACGAAATATTTCTGCATGTTAAAAGCCAGGCAGAAATATGGTTGAACTTTGAATATGTTTGGATGCACTGACCTTAACACTAATGATTTCAATCTAAGTAATAATTTCGGATATTGTCTTTAGCATTGTCCCAAAGGATGCTTTGTTCAAACAGCAGCAGGAATTTCTTTATTTTTCTTGAAGACATTTCACTTCTCAGCCAAGAAGGATCTTCAGTTCTAACTAACTGGTGAGGAATGGAAAGGATTTATAGTCTTGCAGTCAGACAGTCATTAACACTCTGAGAGGTCCTTGGGACCACCTGGGGTTAAGCTGTGTCTTCAGAGTCACCTGAACGAGTGTGGAACCATCTTGGGCAGGGGTGGGCAATTAATTTTCCCCAAGGGACCACATGAGAAACTAGGACTATTGTCAAGGGCAGCCATCACTGACCTTAAGAATCTCCATAGACATCTATAGCATCCTACACTGTGGAATATTTTAACCTAATGTTCCTATACACATCATGTGAACTACTGTCTCTTATTTCAAATCTGCTAAACCAGAGTCAAAAAATAGAATTTTAAACTTTTATTATTTTTAACCTGCACGTAATGTGGTTCAGTGAAGCCATAACTGGTTATTTTCCCTGACTTTATTATCCAAATGCATTATATACACAGTGTACTAATTTAAGATTACTTCTGTTCCCATTTATTTGGCATTCTGTGCCTCATTTTTATGCTTCCAGTTGAAACTCATTACAAAGTCCAGCTGTAATTTTTGACTTCTTCCAAAATAATTTGGGAATTATGTTAAGGGTTATTTTACATCTCATTCCACCCCCTCCTCCTATGTATTTTGCTTCAAAAAGAAATATTTTCCTCCCCTGACTACATGTTTTGCAAGCTGAGTACAGAGAAAATAATACAGTCGGCCAGGTTCTTGGATGCTGATGATCGTTTTAGAAAATTCTTGCAACTCAATATGCAGAAATACACCAAATATATCTCAGGCATATTTTCTATCTTTATGCTATTCTCATGTGAAAAGACAGATAACAAAATAATAACCATGGGTCATTCTAGGAAAAGTCTAAATACATCATCTTGTAATACTCAGTAGTAAGTTGTATTCTTCATACTTATACAATCCAAAAGGCCTCAAGCAGCATACAACTGCCATTTAGGGATATTTTGTAATTAACTACTGATTAGATTTCCTCTTTAAAGCCCATTTTCATTTTAACATGTTTTTGTGCTCAACAGCACAAAATTAAAAAGTTTTAGTTCAGAAAATGCAAGCATGCTGTCAAATTCCCTGTGCTGGTAATGCTTGTAGCCTTGTGTCTTATGGGGTAAAAGGAGTGAGGAACTGTATGATAGAACTATTTCAGTAATTATCCATCATACCACTTACCCATCCTCGGGGACACCAGGTTCTAGGGTCCGACAATCCCGGGGTTCATGGGACACTTCCAGGTCATCTTTAGGAAACTCAATCAGGTCACCAAGTGGGCCTGGCTCAGCATCTGGCAAGTGAGTGCTAAGGTATTTCTCAAAGTCAACTGGCTCTACCACTTCTGTCAGAGGTAACTGAAGGGCAGGGTAACAAGAAAAGAAAGAAAACAGAGAAAGTTACAGGTAAAAAGGAACACAAGATGCAGCTGATTCGTTTAAATTACCTGAAGGTCCTGAACCACTCCTATGCCATACTTGTTGTGATTAGGGTAAGATGAATCCTTGATCGCTTTTCTCCTATTTAGAATTTTTCAATGTCATAGTCCTCCACTTACAACCACAATTGGGCCAAGAATCTCAATGATTTAGCATAGATAAAGACTTACTTCCTCCATAGCCAGACACTGACTTTTGTTCTTTAAATAACTTCTCTTTTGTTAAGGAAACTAATAAACTCTATCCAACTATGATTTTCTCAACCTTTCCCTTTCTCTCAACTCATTCATTTCCTCCTTCATGTGCTTGTTTTCATAATTTGATTCTCATTCATTTTCCAGATAAGATCAGACTATTTCAACATACAGTAGTTTAATATTTTCTCCACTTTCATTCAGCACACATTTCTTTACTCTTTCTCTTCTTAAGTACCCAAATGAAAGCTGACTCAGTGACTTTGTCTGAGCAACTCTTTATCAGCTAAACAACCTCACAAGGTGGTTGTTATTGTGGGGGAAAAGAGGAGGTGGGAGGATTTTGTATGCTGTCTTGAGTTGTACAAAATAAAGATGGAGTGTAAATCCTCTACCCCTCCCCCTCTTCAGCTGAAATAACCATCCCTCAAATGTCATTTTTGGCCATATACGTGTATATCATGCAATTATTTCCTTTCTTTTCCTTTTCAAACAGTTACCTTGTTATTTCATATTCAAATGCATATTCCTCAATACACCGTACAAGGTATCATTTTGATTTTTAGCAACACAAAATCATCTGCACACAAAATCATATACATGTTCATGTTACACATCCTTAAAGGCACCATAAACATTTTTGTAAATTTACCTATAAATACATAAGCAAAATACACCATTCTTGTCTTGTTTCTTACAAAAGGCTGAATTATGTGTTAAGTATTCTGTTTATTTTCACATGACAGTCATATATTACATATACTGCACCATATGCCACATTCAGCAATCATTCTTCAATTCCATATCAGGTCAAAGCATTCTATTATTCAGGTCTAATAACTGATCATTTTATAAAAATTTACAGAAGTTATGGATGGACTCATGAGCACAAAGCTGGAGGAAGGAGGTGTTAAGGTAATTCCCCGTTAGGAGAATGAGTGCACACAGGGAGACGTAGTGAGAGTGGTGAGGAATAATACACAACCAGCATACAGATACACTGTATAGTAAAATGTAGGTTTTACTTCCAGTAAACGGTTAAGCAAAGTCCAACAAACAGTCCAAGTCATTCACGGTTAAAGCAATCAGTTTTCAGTCCAGGGATAATCCAAATAACAAAGTCTAATATCATAAACAGTTCAGTAAATAGACTCACATCAAATCCAAGAAGAACGACAATCAGCGACAGTCAATAGGGAAAATGCAGGAACCAAAAACAGCAAACATCAGAACATCTAACAACTAGCAACTAACAACAACAGAACTAACAACCCAGGTTTCTGGCTCCATCTTATGGCCGTTTGAGGAACCACACCCAATTACAATTTTAGCATTCCCTTAAAGAGACTGTATTAAATGTCTATTCTGGTTTATATATTTCCAACCCAACTGTTAGGTGACTAGCAATTCCTAACTTTCTCCCCTTTGGGTAGGACAATATATAACACCTTACACTTTAAGTCCATATCCTTCACAGCAAGCCTTATGCTTTACAGAGCTTGAGCTTTTGTAAAATGATCTGCAATGTTTTTATCTGACATGCAGTACTCCAGTTTAATAATTTTATTTTGCACACATTGTCTCACATTTAAATATCTTAGATCTGTGTGTTTTGATCTTGTCTTTACAGCGATATTGGAATCCATCTGTACTGCTGATTGGTTGTCTTCATAAACAACAATAGAATCTGTTACATCAATTCCCATGTCAATCAATAGTTGCTTATAACAAACTAAATCTGCACATAATAGAAATAAACATAAGAATTCAGCCTCCATTGTTGATAAACTTAGATGTTTCTGTCAAATAGACCTCCATCCAATCAGGACCCTTCCTAATAATACCACAGTACCTGATGTAGATTTACATGTAGGAACGTCTGTAGCGAAACTTGCATCAGCATATGCAGTTAAACTTAGTTCATCCTTAGGCTCCAAATATAATGCATAATGCATTGTTTGTTTCAGATATCTTAACACACGTTTAGCAGCTTGCCAGTTCCTTTCAGTTGGCTCAGCATTAAATCTAGCTAATTGGTTAACACTGTGTGCTATATCTGGCCTTGACCAATTACTGAGATAAGATAAACTACCAATCAAGGACTGATAAATATCTTTATCAAAAACAGGACTATGAACATCACTGTGGCTAAACTCCTGGCTCATTGGTGTTTTAGCCGGCTTACAAAGTTCCATTTTAAAAGTTTTTAGTTACTGGCTAATTTTATCTGCCTGTGAGATTTTGTAGCCTCCCCTAGTTTTATCTATTTTTAAACCAAGATATTGTTTAATTTCACCTAACTGTTTTATCTTAAATTTCTTTTCTAACAGTGAAATTATTTCAGTAGCTTCTTGCTCAGTTTGGGTGATTAATGCTATGTCATCAGTAAACAATAGCAACAATGAAACTACACCATCACTTTCCTTTTTAAATAAACATGGATCAGCCACGCCAGCTACAAAACCTATCTTAGTTAATTCCTTAATGGAGTGGTTCCACTCATATCCTGATTGCTTCAAGCCATAAAGACTCTTTTTCAATCTCCAGCAATCAATTGTATTATCATTTTTTAGACCTAAAGGTTTCCTTAAATATATAGTGTGTTGCAACGGTGCATGCAGATATGCCGTCTCTACATCTAAATGATTTATAATGTATTTCTCCTTAGCTGCCCACACTAATGCTGCTCGTAATGTAGTAGCCTTCAGACTAGGCGCAAACACTTCATTGTAGTCATTTGCTGTCTGATTGAACCCTTGTGCTACTAACCTGGCTTTATGGGTAACAGTCCCATCCACACCTGTCTTAAGTTTATAAATCCACTTACATCCTATGGCATGTTTACCAGATGGTAACTTAACATTTTTGTATACCTCCAACCTTTGTAAGGATTTCAGTTCCTTATCCATTGCTTCCTGCCAAGCAGCCTGATCCTTACAGGATACAGTTTCAGTTCATTATAGTTATTTGGAATTGTATTCACTTGGCATACAACACTAGCCTGATATCTATCAGGTGGTCGTGTTACTCGGGTTGAACGTCTTGGTAATACAGGGCTTACTGGTGGACTCACCTGTGCCACCTGCTCCTGTTCTCCTACCTCCTCCTGTGCCTGTTCTCCTACTTCCTCCTGTGCCTGTTCTTCCTCTTTAATGCTATTTGTGGTTTACTTATTTCATCTTTAGGGACTACTTTGGTGTCAATAATAACATCATTGCTGGATTCCTATCCCAGTTTATTCCAGCCAACGTGCTCAAGAAATTTAGCACTAGCGCTACAATAAACATGAGCTGTGCCTGGATCCCAGAATCTAAACGATCTATGGCTGGCCTCGTAACCTATGAAAAATAATTTTCTAGCTCTATATTGCCCTTTCAGTCTTACTTGTGAGGGAATATGCACCCATGCTGGAGCTCCAAATTTGTGTAGATAACTTAAATTTGGCTTTCTGCCATGCCAATGAGTGAATGGCAATTCACCAGTTGTTGTGTTAACTACATTGTTCAACACATGGTTGCTACACATTATGGCCTCACTCCACAGTGTTTCAGGCAAACCTGAATCAGATAACATAGTGCGAGCCATGGCTTGTAATGTTTGCCCTCTTCGTTCTACAAACGAGTTATGTTGTGGTCTGTAAGGTGCAGAACGTTTATGCTCGACACCAGCCAATTTTAACATAGTTTGGAATCTATTGTTAACAAACTCAGTCCCATTATCAGTAACTAAAGTAATTACTCTATGTCTCATCTTTCTTTCTGCAAACCTTAGCCAATTAAAGAAATGTTGGAATGTTTCTGTTTTGTTTTTCATGAGATAGCAGAAACCGTGCCGTGAGTAATGGTCCACTATACTCAAAACATAGCAGGCACCTTCCAAACTGGGTTTCTTAGGACCAATTATGTCAGCAAACACAACCTCTAAAGGTTCTTTGGTCTTAAACCCATTTAGTCTGTTTGCTGGAGTAACCTTACCTTTCTCCTGACTACAGGCATTACAATTTAAGTACTTGCTACAGGGTTTTAATTTTACTCCCTCTGACAATTCAACAGTTTGTTTCAGAATTTTGAAATTAATGTGCCCCAGACGTCTATGCAGTAAATGTATACATTCGTCATGTGGCTTAACATTGTTATAAACCGAGTTAGCCATCTGCAATTGGTCATCATGTATAACATATAAATCATTCTCTAAAGTAGCAGTAACACTTTTACCCTCTTTCTCTATTATACAGTTATCTCCCCTAAAGGGTACTACATAACCAATATTAACTAAAGCCCTTACTGATAACAAATTAAATTTCAGTTTAGGTACATATAACATAGATAAATGCTCATTTATACATGAACAATATGCAGTACCTTCATCAGACGCTTTCATCTTCCATCCATTTGCCAATGATACATGTTGCCTATTCGTGGACATCGTTACAAACTTCTCTATTTCTAGAGATGCTCCAAACCTCTCTCTATTTCTGTGATGCTCTACTATCAACTACCCACAAATCATGGTTTAGTGTTGAATTGCTAGACATAGCTAAATTAACATTCTTCTTAGCCTTCTGGTGATTACCAGTATTCTGTTGTTTGCCCTTCTTACAGAATCTAGCTATATGTCCCCTAGCCCCACAAGAAAAACATTTCCTAACAGTATAGGTAGTTGAAGACAAATCCTCTTCTTGTGGTTGTTCCTTCCCCAGTTGGTCCCTATCCAGTCGACTTCTTG